CGCTAAATCTCTTGGAAATTAAGTCTCGGACTAAATTGTTCTCTTTGACGGGGGTTAATTGCAGCAATCCCCGGCGCTGATTATCTCTTGCTGGAATTTTGTCTATAACCGGCTGTTGCTGCTCGGATGTGGCACGAAAACTTGGCTGCCTCCGTGTGTTATTACTGTTATTATTATTTCGCTGGCGGAGGAAGTTTGGTCTGTATGCCCCTGTGCGAATTCGCACGTGACCGCGCCTCCTCCTCCTCGCCCGACCGGCATTACGTGACAAAAGTCACTGTCTCCGCCGTTTTACTGCGCTGTGCCTTTCTAGAACATGCACATAATAAATTATCAACCCATGACCAAACATTTTATATTGCCACAGCCAACAAGTGGGACTAAATATGTACACCAACTACTGCGCATCGACAGGTTAGATTGATGATTCACTTTCGCGCGGAGACAAATGATCACCGCGAGAACAAGGGCAATTAATTTTCATTGACGGCCTTTACGCCCAATAATGTCTTTCTGGCTTTCTGCAGCCAAAGTGCAAAAACTGAACTCTGGTAAGATTATTATTCTTCTGCTGATGGATTAAATCTTAAATCAAAATTGCGCTAAATATCTTGAAGAAGGAATTTTATTTGTTGTTATTTTGTATCTCTTGTAAAATAATTTATCAAAATATAACCAACCCTAGATTTCTCAACATTTTCTCTGTATAAACTACCGCGTACAAGTAGTTAAAATTAGGTAAATATTAGCACAGAAGTAGGACGCACAGTGATGCAAGTCGCGTCTCCTTAGTCTCGCTTAATGAAGACTGCATCCAAATATAACGCCCGCGTCTCCAGAGTCTTGTCTATGTAAACGTGCCCTGCAGAATTATTCCAAGACATTAGTGCAATCATAATAACTCACTTAAATTTGAGTGGCAGAACGTTTGTTTGGCTGGTTGGGAGCCCAATTCGGCGCAAAACAAGTGTACCCTTTGTGTACTCCCAGGGTATTTGCTCTTCTCTTAACATGTTGCCGTGGTGGCGGCGGAGACACGCGGCCCTCCGCGAGATGTTATCAAACCACGCAAAAACAAACCCCGTCTGGCACTCCTTGGATCTGGAGCTTCAGTAGCGATTCATTAACGGGACGAGAGGAAACTCTAGTACCTGACGAAATGGCTTCCAATTTTAAAGTAAGTTTATATTGTATCATTACAAAATATTTGCAGTGCGCGTCCGGAGTTAATTGCAATCCGATTTAATCTTTCAAAAAATTTAAAAACTAAATTTGAGGTAATTGCATTGAATTTAGTTTTATATAAACACGCCTGGTTTGCTTTATCTTATAATTGATTTTCATTAGTTTACAATATTTTGAAATATTAAAATTTTTTAAACAATCAAGGGTTTGAACCTATTATTTTTGTGAGTGCTTATTTTTCTAAAAAAAAAAAAATTACACATTAATTCTCATTATTTCTGCGACCTTTTCATTTTAAAAGTTTAAAGGTATTTTTGCCTACCGCACCACAGAGTATACTTTAGAACGGCGATGTATGCACATATCTAACTAATACACTGATTACTAGCACAACGCCGGATTATACTCATGTGTGCAAATTAATTGGATAGCCTGCAACACGCCCTCCAATTTGCCATTACGCACGATGCTCGGTGAATGTTTAATATTTTCACACGCCACGGGCCAAACGCGAAATTCCCTGCGGGACCCGGTCGAGAGTGGCAAAATTATACAACGGCGATGCAAAATCGCCTGCTTCAGTCGTCGCTGTTTCACTCGCGCTGCACCGACAGCTGCCATTTGAAACTTTTGTCCGCCCGCCCTCGGTCATGGAGACCCCACGTTCTGATCAATATTCCTTTGTGGCTTGTTTCTGTGTGGAAAATTCTTTGTTCGAAATTGGGACAATCCCCGTGGCTTGGTTCGTTTTGCCACTGAGGAGGGCCGACGAAAAGAGCTCCCTCTCAAGCAGCCCACAACTCACCCCGCGCGTCTGAAAGTATAATTTATGACTATCACTGCGCCCCATCAGCCTTCAAGTTATATAAGTGAGCAGAGAGATGGCTGATTTTATACTCCGTCGTTTGCATTCACGACCAAAAGATCTGTCAGACAAGATGGAAGAGATCTCTTGCTGCCATCATTTATGCACACTTTTGCTTTACTTAGCAACACGACTTTGAATTTTGCCGAAAATCAATACCTCACAATATGAATACTCGGGCACCGGTTCCGCTTGCTCACGGTGCTCAAGTGCATCGGTAAAGATATGGACCAAGTGCAACACTTGACCTCGCGAGTTTCCTTCCAGCAAAATTCTATGAAAGCAGAAGTGGATATTTGTAGAAGAGGCTGAGCGTCAAGTCGAAACTGCTTACGAGTTTTCAGAAATGGGTGAATTTATTATTCATGTCCCACTAGGGCAAGGTTTGCACATCACAACAACAAATTACGATTGTTGTGATGTGCGTACTTTGTCCTTCAGCGACAAAATAATTTGATATGATCCGGTATGATCGTTAGGTTGTTGTTATTTCTTTCTAAATTAAAAAAAAAATTATTACAGTTCAAATAGTTTTTATATTATAATTATTATTCATTTAAAAAAATATATATTGATGAAAAAATTTCGTTTCAACAAAACCTCATCAATGTGTAATAAAATTCATTGTTACACATAGTTTTGAATGAAATTCATTGTTAGAAAAATTTGTAAATTTTTGCATAAACATCCCACTTAGTTATTTTCATGAGTGAATCTAAAAATAAGTCAGGCTTTTGCCAGTTACTGATTTTTTTTTTTTTTTTTTAGAATTTCCAGCAATTTAAAAAGCATATTTTGGTTAAATTTGAACAACTCGCTGTTTTTACTGCTTTAATTGAGATTTAATGCAAAATTAAGAAATTTTAAGAATGTCTTCATCAGCGGACTAAGCTGACTAAAAGATTTATTTTTTATACTAGAAACAAACATGGACGAGTTTAGCTTCCGATCTTTCTAGAGATGTTGGGGGCGCAGCCTGCCGCATTTTATTCAGATGCAAATAGCCTGACGGTAATCGCCGCCGCACGCTTAATTTAATCGGTACAGAGAGAGGATATGAAGGTCGTTGGGTGACAGATTTGCAGCGCGATTTTGCATGCAATGACAGAGGCGTCACGGCGAATATGCACATGCGCCTCGTTTAATGCCGTCCCGGCAGCGCATCTATTTGCAGCGCAGTAGATGGCGAAACAAGGACAACCAGATCATCACAAGCGACCGCCGCTTTTTCCCATACACTCGAGCACATACTCGATGCAAAACACGTCGGGCGCTCTCCAACAAAAATCATGAGTGGGTCTGAGTGGTGGACAGAGTGGCGAGAGAGTTGTTTTACGCTGATCCAGCCGAGTTTGTTTTACACTGACAAATTTAATTAGAGCTCTCTCTAATTTGCTCTCTCTCTCTCTGAAAGAAGAAATTGCTCCTTTTTATAAACACGCCTAATTAGTGCGCTCTTTATTTAAACGCGGCCGGTCTCTCTCTTTGTGTCGTTTCGTCACTACCGAGTTTGAACAAAGCTATTCAAATAATGGAGCTCTAAATGTACAGCCGGTTGCATCGAGCGGCACGAGTGCCAGAGTGCATAAATAATGCATTCTCAAATAAAAGGCGTTTGCCATGTACATGCAAATACCATGAGCGGTCGGACGGAAAGGCAAATCTTAATGCAGCACGAGGCTTTTAATTATGCAAAGGCACGCCGCAAGCTGTGCTGGGGAATATTGTTATTGAATCATTATCATAAGACGTCTTTCAATCAGCCGCACGTGATTAGTGAAACGGGTTGGAACTGGCTGGAAACTTTATCGCTGCGGTTGTTTGAATGCGAACTAGGTTAAAAAGGACAAGTCAAGACGAATCAATTATGGAATGACTCATACCGCTTATGTTAGGCGGCGGCGCTCTGTAGACAGGGAAGGAATTAATTGCAATTTTATTCATTCCACAATTATTATTCAATCAAGTTTTCAAACAGCTGCAGTTTAAACATTACACAGTTAGTGAGCATATTATTGAAGTATGCACATTTGGAAAGGTGATTTTTATTTTAATACCCTTACAATTTTAATAAAATAAATATCTTACAACATTTATAATAAAAAACCTGCTATTTGAATTAATTTAAGCATACTTTTAATATTTTTAACCCTCTGAAGAATCCCTCAATTGTATTCCAATATTTATTTTACAAAAATTAATAATTATTAAGAGCTACCAAAAATGTGCAAGAACTAAAGTGGCTAACAACAATTCTCTTATAGTTGGGCCAACAGCAGTAAACCGGGTTTGATAATAAGACAAAATATTTGCTAAAAGTGTTTTTGCAAGCCCTTATTAACGGAAGCTAGCCACATTTTTCGCAGCTCCTGAATAATATAAAAAATTCAAGTACTTTTTTCTCTGCAGCCAAACAATTGCTTTTGAATGTGGCCATCCGGTTTCGCATTTCAATTCAGCAATCAGCCCTGTCATTCCCCTTTAGGTATATCCCGAGAGGGCTGGGGTTCGATCATCGAACGCATTATAAGTATTACTCTTGACAAATTTAATACTGCGAATCATCACAAGTGCAATTCCATAACAAGCATAGCGGTGGGGGTGGCTCGGGGGAGGTCAGCAATGCGCAGAAGCTCCATCAAGGGCGGCTCATGCCTGCTTGCAGTGCACCGCTCACCACACGAAATGAAACGGAAAATGAACAAAAAAAAATCGGCACCGAAAGCTCGAAAAAGCGGAGGTCACGACCTGAGAGGGGGTGCGGGGGCGGATGCATCTCGGTGGGCAAAAGCGCGGCAGAAAATCGATGCCGCGTGGTGCCAGTCGGAATTCTGCTCCTTAGCAGTAGATCAGTTGGCGTGAGAAGAGAGGAAAAGCCAACCAAGGCTGGGGGATGGTGGAATAGGGGAGCGGACGGGAATCTTTGTGATTCTAAACGCGGCGGCCGCCTCTCAGTTGCAAGTTAGCTCTCGGCCAGATATAACCTGTGTCACTGGTGATAAAATTATTTAAACCGCGCCCGCACCGAAATAAACCCAAAGACTTGTTAGTGCATTTTCATTGGCAAGCAGCGCCGAAGCAGTCGACATGACCGGGGTAATTATCTGCTTAGTTTTTACACCTTCCCATCCGTACCTGTTCACCCCTGCAATCGTGTTGAGCATTTGCGAAAACCTCTAAGCTAATCGATTTCGCAGCGTTTTTATATATTAATTATTATCGCGGAGAATGAATTTAATTGCGCCTCTCGTCTGTGTGCTCGCTCGGAACCACGCGCCCTTTGAAAGAGTCGAGCCACTTTTGGCGCCAGTTGCTCGTTATTCATAACCCACACGCCTAATTAAATCTGCAGCCCCCGGAACAACATTCTCACCATCACTTTTCATTTTGAGTGACACGCAAATTTTCTCTATAAATTAAGTTAATATTTTCTTCTAATTAAATCCTGTGCTAAATTTTGTACATATGGTTTGGAATAATTTTCTAGAGTATATACCGTGTTATCATAGTTCAAGTGAGAGGGTTGCTTTAAATAAATAAAGCTTCCGTGCAGCCGAAGTCTAACTAAGCTCGTAACACGGCGTTTAACTGCTTAAGGCGGGCAGTAAAAGGGACGACCGAATCACCATCACCACCAACGTCATTTCGGTGAACATACATAGTTCCGCGTAATTTCATAAAGCCTGATTGCTCCTTCCGGGAACCACTCAAATGGATGAAAATACACAAACTTGGTAAATGTCTGCGCGGTCACATAAGTTTAATTTCTTTTCATTAAATTTGCCTCCCACGTATAACGCAACTGCGCAGTTTTCAAAGGCGCACAAAGTTCATCAGTATGCAAATTTAGTTTCGCAAACAATGTACACTCTTTTTAAGCACCGCGACTTCAAAGTGGACGGCCTGAACAAATATCAGGTCTGGCGAACCTTTCCAATTATCTTGTAAACAAACGCACAACACGTGAGTCGCCTGTCGTGAGAATGACTTCAAAGGGCGACCCATGCAGTTTTGTAACTGGAACTGTGTGTGTGTGTTCGGAAATATCGACCAGAGAGGGTCAATTCTGGTTGTGACCCATCCGTGTGTGTGTCCACCATCAATATTTAAGCTGGCGCGGTCACCCATTAGCGGAGCAATAATTGTTTTCATTTGGGGATTCAATTAGCCTCCCATCTGATTCGTCGTATGCAAATGAGTCGGCTTTTCGCAACCGCTGGAATTTGGCGCAGGTGCTCGATATCGCGGTCCTTAATCACTCTATTTCGTTGCTGTTGGCACACGCGCGTCCAGCAGATTGCGGGCCGGACAGGAAACGACTTCAAAAAAAGTCTGATTTATTTTGCCTCCAGCTTTTGGCAGCCAAGTCTGTTCCTCACTCATCTCTCGCCCCGAAATAACCCAAGTTGCGGATCAGTGCAACAATAATGTGGTGCTGACTAATGCGACTTGCATGCGAATGCTGGAGCAAAAAGCAAGGCTCGAAACTCAAAACAAGCCCCCGGCACCGACACCTCTCTCTGTTTTTTTTTTATGACAAGCAACCCTTTCCCTCCCGCGGCGCAAAAGCGCGGCCTGGTTTGCAAAGCGCGAATCGATTGCTTCAATGATCCTTGAAAAGACTTTTCGCCTGCTGTCGCTCGAATTAACCCCGGAGAATTATTTTTTACCTCCTTGTTCAAATAAAGATTCATTTTTTCCTTCTTTTTTTGCGACAAATGTTTTTATGATGGCGAATTTTTTTACGAGCGGCGCCTGAAAAAAAAGCGTCGTAAAAGTGCTCAGGTGCGCGATCGTCCTCGGTGGGTGGCACGAGGGGCGATTCGCCGGGGCATCAATGTCACGAGTCGCTACGGAAGCACGCAACTGGCGGAGCGCGAGTGACGCGCAAATTGCATAACGTTGTCGATGGCAGGCGCGAACGACGGATCGCCTATCAATCTCACAATCAGATCGCAGCAGCTGCGTGACCCGCACACTGAACCGGCAAACATCGGTCAGTTTGCGATAAAAGGAAAGTGAGCTTCCTCGCCGGGAAATGGCGAACCCTATTTCGCCTGTCAATTTATTACAATTTCATAAGAGGCATGTCTGCCGTTTGTCATGACAAAGGAGTAGCAGAATAGATGGTTTATTCTGTCTGGATGGGACATGCTACCTTCAAAATAAACCAAAACTTATTGATTATCGGAATGTATCTCCATTTGAAGGCAAAATAAATAAATATTGATAGTTTTTTAATTAAATTCTTGTATGTATTTAAATTAAAAAAAAAAAATTATTATGAAGATAAAAATAAGTATAACGCTCAAGTTAATAGTGGTTATTAGCAAGATACTGTCATATTGAAATACCTCATCATTCACCAAGCCTCAATTTAGTGGAAAATAATTAATAAAATCTATTGTTCCTTGAAATTTATTTCAATTGATTAAATGGAGAATTGATACATACAATTATTGCTAAAAAATTGTGCTCGTGACTAATACTTAGATTATAATAAAAAATAATTCCATATGACTTTTCTTACATAAATTATCAAGTGGAAGTGCAAATTCCAATTTTAAAAGGATAATTTGACCCGTTTATAAACCAAATTTCTTTATCATTTTACAATTTTTCACTTCATACCTGTTCAATGATGAAGTTAAAAAAAATCTGTAAATGAATTAGTTCACAATTTTTAGATTTTAGAGAAGTTTTAATTTTCTAAAGATAAGCATTTGAAGAAGGAAACATTGAAATATAAAACTTTTACGCATCAAATATTGATTTCCCCCCTGTGGAATTAATGTTCTCTTTTGAATAAATCGACAGACAAATTGTTCTTAGGCGACTTCAAATGATAAAACATTCAATCTGCCTTTATTGCTAGTGGATGGCCAGTTAGTTCCAGTTGATTCACTTGTGGCGTTCGGCTTTCCTAACTACTCACTTCCGGGCGTTTCGGCCGTTTAACGTTCGCCTCTCATTACCAAGTCGAGATTCAATCATCAGAGAGCGCCGCGCGTATCTCGATGGTGCGCACGCCAGCTTACTTAGGTGACCCAAACCACCGAGAGAGCTGTAAATATCTGGGTTCAGTCGAGGTTCAAAGTCACTTTGAATGCCGTGGCGCGGCGGCAGGCCCAAAATAGTCCCGATGGGTCCCCTTTCATTACGGCGATAGCAAGAGAAATTAGCCGGCAAATTGGCTTATGTCGCGCTTAATAAGCAGTGCCATTGCTCGGTGGCCTTATAAGCCGGGCCGCGCGCGCACCAATCAGCCTAATAGAGGTGGCCAGCGTTTTTCACTGGCGTTTTCTGCGTCCGTCGCCAGCTGAATTATTTATCGAAATTGAGGCGTCAACCGTTCTGTAATTGAATTTTGCGAGCGCCGAGCCCCCGCTGCCGCCGCCGCCGAGCTTTGGCGACACTCTCTGTTGTTGTTACTCAATCCAAGAGGGCTCGGTGAGATTTTTGATCCGCGGCCAAACGACGGCGCGGTGCGGATAGGGCCGTGGAGAAGAAAACTTGAGAGCAAATCACACAGTCGAGTGCTCACGGCGCTTGTTTGACAAAGCGAGTGGATTCAAGCGGGCCAATCGCTCCAGCGAATGATGAATGAATTACTTCCGTTCGCAAATTTAACAAGAGCAAAGTCTACTCCAACGTTGCACTCTTTCCGTCCAGACTTTCTTTGAACCGATTTGCCGCTTCGATAATTCATTACATTATTAATTCTGTACAATTGAAGCGGAAAATGAGAAAAATTAATAATTATTCTGCACTTGAAAGGTGTTGAGAATTAAAATAATATCCCCTCTTCTAACAAAATTATTCTCTTAACGTTTTTGTTTACATGACGTATATTATGGTGTTCTTTACAGAAAAACACAAGAAATTTTTCCACATACTTGCAGGAAAAGCAGAAGCGAAAAATAAGTGGCGTCAAGAAGGTTAGATCTACTGGAAGAACTTGACGTTGTAAACAAGCTTAATTAATTGAAATAAAACAAATTTAGGCACATTCACAAAACATAACGCCAAAGTTTAGTAAATTTACCATTCTAAAAGTAGCGTATTATTAAAAACAATTACACCTTGATTTAAAATTGAATAACAAAAATCACTAAACACCAGTACATAATTTGATTTGACGGTTGTTTCATTTAGCGTCCTAACACGTTGCTTGTTGCTCTCTCCGGAGCTAATCCCCGTCGACTTCAATTTGACTCAAGATGGATGGTACTCATCTTTCACTAACGACATGCTAATTTTGTTTCAGAAACACACAGTGTCAACGGACGGCAGCGGCCCCCTCGATGTCTACGTTCAGGTGAGAATTTCACAAGGGTTTTTGTTTTGCTTGTTTTTTTTTTGTTACATAATTTTTAAATAGACTGTTAATTGATCCTATTTTTAACTTGCTATTCTAGATAAAATTAATTGCGCTTTGTGGTACTCTATTTTTTGCCTGTCGGCATGATAAAAGTTTTTTATCATGGTTTTGTATCAGCAATTTTAAATAAACAGTTACTTGATCCTAATTTTAAAACTCGCTATTTTAGATAAAGCTAAATGTGGTTTTTGGTAATCTATTTTTGCCCTTCAACACGGCTTAGTCCATTAAAGGCACAAGCGCCCCTAACTGCGTTGACCTTGGACAAGTACTTTGGAACGGTTAGTGATGGTGTTCAGCACCAACGACGCAGTTACGCGGTGCACCAGGGAGTCGAGCATGGATTTATTTGATCGAGTGAAACGCAATTGGCTGCTTCGATTCGACTTTTATTCCCTGGGAACGTAAAAAGGGGGCTTAAAGTGAAATGAAATCGGCGGCAGCCATAACTTTCCTGCTTTTGATGTCAGATTTTGACAAGTATAATTTCCTAGCATAAAATATTTACAGCATAATTTTATATAAAAAAGAACAAAACTTTTTTGTAGCTCTTAAAAATTGCTAGAAATGCACAATTAATTTGTAACCTTTTTAATTTTTGTACCTATTAATAAATTATTCTTTAATAAAAATTAATTCGTATATCAATTTTTTCAATCTTTTGGATTAATAATCTTTATTTAGATCATTTTTCTTAGATTTTCAACGTTTTATCAGAATAAAGCGAGAGAATGTTTTTTAAGTTTCTTTTTTATTCCAGGGTGATCTGCACCAGATGGAAAAGAAGGCACTTTTCCTCACCGTCCACGACCTGGGCACCAACCGTAAGTATTCGTTCCTAAATTCCATCAACTTTGACCTTTGAAAACGCGGCCTGCGGGCGCACCGCATCAGAACATGCGTGAAATTCTTGTTACTCTGAAACGTTTTTTTTTTTTTTTTTAATCCAAACGCAACATCTTTTTTATCCTCCCGGCGCGGAAAATACGACTCAACAGGGAACAATCCGAGAATAAAAGGAGGTGCGGGCGGGACGTCGAAAGTGGTGCTGCATCTAAATTATCTGCCGCGTCGCAGCGCACACTTCCCTGTTATCAGCCTCTGAATTTTTGTCTCGCCCCTTGCAACTGCTCACGCGTAGAGTGAGAACATTCGGGGTGAAATTGAATTTCTTTGTATCTCCGGTATCTTTTTTTAATAGGAGGGACGAAGCGATAAAATTGGACCCGGCGACGGAAAGTTAACTCCAAAACTATTAAAGCCGAATGCGCTTTTTATTTTTTGCCACAGAATAGCTGCGATATCCCCGGTGTTACCGAACATGCATCCTTTCTAGGGCTAATATTAGCGGGCCAAAAGTTTCAAAACATCAACTTCATCATTCTTTAAAACTTAAGCACGAGCTTGTTGCGAGAATTGCTGGAAACACTGCACGGCACGTACTAAAGAAAGCTGCTCTGAATAGGTTTTTTTCTCTCTTGTGTGCAGAGAGGATGCTTACAGCGGTTGCTGTGAGAAAGTTTCTCTGGAAAATTTAGTGCATGATTAGGGAACTTTACTCGGCAATTTATGGACACGAACTTATCGTTAGTCAATATTTTAGCTGATACAGAAAAGCAGCAACGCCGTGTGCGGCTTAATAAATTTTGTCAGCGTTTCTGGCACCACATTCTCCCCGCCCACCACTAAGCGCATCAACGTTTTCATCAAAAGCCCAGATTAACCGCTCATCCGCTTTTTCCTGCCTAAAGTTAGTTACTTCCTTTGTTGGATGTTTACTTTAGCGAGTAAATAATTCAATAGCATTTTCCAATTAAAAATAAAAAGTCTCCTGCTTATAAAGCCACAGGTCTGGATTAATTCTTATGTGTTGCTCGTGCTGACTGCGGGGTCAAATGGCAACTGCGAGCCTTTGCTCAGGCTCGAGTTACCTCTGGCCCTGGGGGTTTGAGTTTGGAAATTTAATTGGGATGCTCAACTCGTCTTGCCTGATGGTGGTGCGAGATCCACCGGCCTCCTCCTCGCCCCCATTATTTTGGGCTCAGCAAAAGGAAACTGCTCGCACGATGGCGGCTCAGCTGTCTAGTGATCAATCATGAAACCTGACGACAGTTTGGATGATTTCCGTGATGATTGATACCAAAAACAGTGGCCCGCAGACGGAATAAAATGACCCAGAAACGGCGGCGTGTCAGTAAACTTTTGCATGAGCGTGCACGCTCCACTTGCTTTGATGGATGTTGTGAAAAATTGCAATGAATTGTAGCACAAGCACAGTCATTACGACTCCTTGTTACGTCCAATCAACACCGCAATTTCCAATTAGCTAATTCATGTGAATATTAAGCTGTGAATTTTTTTTAAAAGAAAACGGCACTCATGGTATAATTATATAATAAAAGAGAAATTGTGGAAATTTTTGATCACTATTTGATTATAATTAATAATTGAGTTCTTTTCACGGAAAATTAAAAATACAATATAATTCATCAATTCATGAATTCACAAAAGCCCAATACTCAATTATAGGATAATAATATCTATTTAAGTTTCCAATTTGTAATCGCTAATAAAATAACTATTGACTTTACAAAGACTTTGTAAAGTTTCCAACCCAGGTTTGAATATATTTTTGTCTAGAAATTTTACTACAGTAAAATTATGTTAGATCGTTTAAAAAATTTATTTCCAATTTACTTCTAAACTGCTTTGAATTTTACAATCGGCGAGCAAAATGTTTTCTTAGATGATAAAAAAAAAATTAAATTTTTTATTCAATTTGTACCTTACACGTTAACGATATTATTATTTATTTATGTTTTCCAAGTGAGATTTTTGCTTCCTTTAACAAGAAATAAAATGAAATTTAATTAAGTAAGCAACACGTCCATTAACGCCGATGGACCGCATCCCTTTGTTCCCACCTGACGTCACCCGCATGATGCGCGCTACTCACACCTGCACTGTACACCTATCCATATAAATTGGCCAGGGGCGCCAGGGGGTTATTGACGAGTGGCTCATCGTGATGGGGGGACGGACCCGCGAGTTTCTGCTGACGTCACTGGCACTTTTCATTCGGCTTTTCGTGCAGCCTGCCCTTCTTCTCCCTAGATGCCCACAATTACATACAAAAGTAGGACCAAAGAAAAACCATTTTATCAAAGCTGACGCTGTGACTTTCAGGAAACTTTTCGAGTCTGACATGTCAGTCAGCAAATTCAGTCAAAACATTTCATCTGTACCAAAGATCAAAGCTTTCATTCAATTAGAGTCTCTCTTTGAAAGACTTTTTAGTGTACATAATGTCAATGGAGCTAATTGCTGGAACATTTTTTTTTAATTTGAATAAATTTGAGATCAACTGGGAATGGGCAAATATAATTTCTGAAGCTTAGGGATTTGAATTAATTCTCAAGATAGAGAAAATTGAAACCATAAAAAGATAAAAAAAATTTATCAATTTGAAAAAAAAAATCAAATTTTTTTTATAATTTTTCGTAAAAATTTTATGGCTTTTTAATTATCAAGACGGGTAAAGCAGGACATCTTTTACCTTAAATTTATTATGTAACATTCGGATGCATTGTAGCAATGGACTTAAAGAACTGCGAGAAGAAAATCGGGCTTCCAACACATATCTCTGCCAGAGGGCTAAAAAAATGGGCAGAACGTGAGTGTTCTGTGTCCGCTCGGCGTATGACAGGCAGTCTTTTCCTGCCAGACGTCATGGCAGATGACAAAATACACACAGCATCTGCTCTAGCCGCGTGTATTGCTAAACAAAAGGGTCCACCGGCTGCTTTCGTGGACAAATCCTTGACACGAGCCACCAGAAATAATGGCATGCTGATTTATTCAAACCGAAATTACTCATGCGCGATTCTGAAGCTCTGCAAAAACATCCTCGGGCGCAGTTTGCAACAAAGGTGCGGAGGAATGCGTTGTTCTCAGTCATAATTAAATTGGAAATTAATTAACAATTGACTTAAGCGCCGCGCCGCACAATGGAGACGACGTTGTACATTTTTGATCTACACACATTAGTCGTGATGATGTTTTAACGAATAAACCCTTTCGCTCCCTCGGTGCTAACAAAGTGACGTGTAATCGATACGTACCTGGTGCGCGGCTGAATAATAAGGAACGCGCGGGAATCGAATTACAACAATACTGTCTTGTAGCGCGCGTGGCTTATCGAGTTAATCAATGGGTTGGAACTCGCAAGCAGGGCACAGCCAGTGTCTCACTCAGTTCGACTAACGCTCGCCAGTTTGCACTTGTGAAAATTTAATTTCCTATCACACCTCGCCAACAATATTGAGCGTGGCAGCTGCAACTTTGAATAATTTAATTCCACGAGCTTTCAGTTAAACTGTGTGGATTATGTCTTTGCCTTGCTATAAGCTCTGATCTATAATCGTTCATTTTTACATTATCAGAAAATTCAAAACAAATAACAGAAAATATAAGCGAATCCATTTTTTGGATTTGCCTCTGGCACAATTTTAAAAATCGTACTTTATTATTGAAGAAACAAAAATGATTTTAATGCAAGAAAAAATCTTTTTCTTGTTCTAAATTTAGTTGCATTAATTTTATTTTTGATGTAGAATGCGTTTAAATTTCCACCAATAAAATTAATTTCAAGTATCAGCTAATTAAATCACGTTTGTGCATAATATGTAATATTTTTAACCGTTTTCAAGAGACATGGTTTTTTTATTATTATTAATATGTCTAGAAGTTTCTCACAAAATTTTATTATACCCCATCATAAGTTAAGAGGGTGGGTTTATTCTGAACAAAGAATGAAATTTGATCAGACTGACACAAAGGCGTTCCTATTTCATGGGAAAAGAATCGTATTATTTAGTCTATTATTTGCCCTAGTTGACCTTTTGCTGAATGATTAAGTCTGGAGATTTTTCTCCACCAGCATTCTGAGAATCCGCCAGCTGCGAAATGTTTAAAGAGGTGTATCCATTTCCGCAATTTATTTATTGTCTTGACAAAACATTTGGAGTTGCGCGGCGCCTGTGTCACTCACCCTGCCTTTCTCCGTCCGCCCTTTCTTACTTACATTAGTCGTACAAATCCAATTTGGGCTGGTATACAAGGGGCAAAATCGGTCTTCTCTACATTAAGAGTCTTTGTTGGTTTGGGGGATTCGACGGAGCTTTTAATAACGTCAGCGTAATCCTTGTGAGCCCTTGTTAAATAAAGATGTGTCTTTTTGGCCGAGATGAGATGAGCTGGAAAGTTTTCTAAATCATCTCGATGAGAATATAAGGTTGTTACTTTTTATTGTATGCTCCACGAGCTCATCAGACTATTACGGAAGCAATTGAAAAGGAGATTGCTTAATTTTTCATTTGGCTCGAGAAGTCCGGAAATGAGGCAAACGTGTGCGTGTTGGTCCTCCCTCTGTCGCTTTCGCCCCGGCAAGGCACGTCATTTATAAATGTATATCAACTCGCCTTCTTGCAGTTCAAGACCTTTTCAGAACAAGTCGTATAATGAAACTGTTTCAACTTTCTTTGTACAAACACACGTTCAGACTTTACGGACGGAAACTTTAACGGCCATTTCACTGCTCCGTAGTCCGTGTGCTGGTTCGTAGAATTATTAAAGGACTCTATCAGTGTACACAAGAGAAGTTTTAGATTGGAAGTCTCTTCCTTCGCGTCCATTTGCTACACGACAAGAACAGGTGCGCCGAAAAGGTGTAAACACTGCGCTACTTATTTTTGCCGGGCGCTAAAAGCAGAGTCGGACGGAAAAGTAGCAGAAGTGCTCGGCGAGTAAATCAAAGAAAAGGCGTTTAACTGCCAAGTCGTTTGAATCACGTGTCTTTACGGACACGTTCGAGAAGGTTGTTTATTCTGCAAGTGCGACATAGACATGCTGGAAGTCTTTAAATTTCGAGAAACGACTCTTTCAGTTTATTTTTACCGCGAACACGCCGCCACCATAATTTAAATCCCGTCTTTTGCTGTGAATTTCTGGCCCAGAGGCTGCAATTCGTTGGCTTAATGTACGATTTTTGAGTCAAGAAGATTTTTATACAAATTGCTTTTGTGTTACAAAGTTCTAGAAAGGTGAAGAGATAAAAAAAATCGATAAAAATTGGGGAAAACGGAGTTTATTGACAAAACGCTCAAGGCGTCGAAAGGGTTGTAAGTGTGATAGGACGCATAACCATAAATAATAAAAGACGCGTTATTTTTATCAGTAAAAAGATTATATACTGTTGTGGGTTGGACAGATAATTATCTCAAGATTAAAATTAACAATAGATGATGGTAAATAAATTTTTTACGACTAGCATTTTAAACGATTCCTTGTTTATTTATTCATTCTCTATTTGATACACAGTCAAGAATACAGAAATTTATTTTAATTTAGATTAAAATTGTAATGTTAATTAAAAGTTTTAATAAACCTTTTCTCATGGGAATTTTTAATTTCAAATAAAAAATATACTACCAAAATAAATAAATACTAGCCCGAAAATGATGACGTAGTCGAAACTTTGACAGTGGAAGTGCCGCGGTGTGCGTTATGATTAATTTGCGGTTGCATTCCACGTGCCTGGCGGTCCGGATGGCCGAGATTAAAGTGGCTTGCAACTTGCAAAGGGCGAAAAATTCCCGCATCGTCCCCTCAACTGCCGGCGCCACCCCCGCAAGCAATTTTTTGCGCCCTCTCTCTCCAGTGAGCGATGATGGTCACGTGAGTTTTCTGGTCGGCCTAAATAAAGAAGGAGCAGCACTCGCGAAAAATTATTTCCTCTTGCGGCCTCTTATGCTCCAGCGCGCGTCTTGGCCAAAATTATTGCTAAGTGGAATAGCAGGTGTTGCAGAGGCGAATATTTTATGAGAACGGCGCCGTTTCTTATTTTTTTCTTCTTCTCATTCATCCCCTTTGGATTTATCTGGACCGCTGAATTTATTTCTTTGCTCGTCGGCATCTCCGGGGCGCCGTTCTTATTGCCGCTGACGACGGACCGCAATTTTGTCCCCCCACGGAATGAAGAGAAATGATGGTTCTGAAATAAATTATTTCGCGCTGCACCTACTCCCCGGGTGCTCTTTCGGCCGCGCTTGAGCAATGAGAATTTACCGTCGAGCACTCGCCTTTTTGCAAAGGCCACGCGGCCGCCGGTGTGTAGCGTGACCTTTCGTCATTCGTCTGCTGACCTGCCGGCTAGAAGCACCCCATCTTGCGAATTTCAAATAAAGGTTCTCCCAGAAAAAAGATGCCCGACTTACGAGGTCTTTCTTTGTTTGCTATAGAGCTTGGAAAAATGAGCCAGGAGCGTTTATCGTTATAAAATTTTCCCGATTTTTTTTTAAATAAAATTATCTGACATATTTTGAAAATGTTGATGGTAATTTTCAAATATTTTGTTTCAAAAAAATTTCAATTTATTTCATTTTTAAAGTAAAAAATTTCTATGTAATGATAAAAAAAAACAATAATTAAAAAAAAGGTAGAATATAATTTTAAACATTTTGACGTGATTTATAATCAAATATTTGGAATTTTCTGCATCTCTATTTCTTATTAAAATCTCGGTCAATTTTTTCACTTCACTGTAACAGAAAAAGTTTCACTTGAGATGCATTATAGAGAAGACGAAAAATCTGATGTTACAAAAGTTTCGATGTAGCATCAAAGAATAATCATTTTGCCGCACTTGAAGTGGAAAGTTGCTCACATTCGTTGCATATTGCAACACAGTGTATGCCGCTTTCATATTTGTCAAACACTCACAGAAGTCTTTCGCTTTTTTTCCATCTCCTCTGGGGCTGCAACTCTCATATTGCGAGCGGCAACGTTTTTTTATGTAAAACGAATTCCGACCGCCACTCTGGGCGAGAACACGAGGAAAATAATTTAAATTTCAAATTCGCCTTGGTGCTCCTGCCACACTCGCATGTCTGGCGAGAGTGAGAGTGGAATTTTTTTTAGCACAATTCAATTGTGACAAAAAAATGGTTTGCTCATGGTCAGCGTGTGAGTCGAGAAAAAAGGGCCTTTATTCCAAATGAAATTAATCCAGTGCTCGTGATGGCGAGACTCTTTCAAGCCTCCATTCTACCTTTCGGTTCCAAGGCAGCCTCGTAAAAAATAAAGAAGGGAAAAGAAACACCTCTTTGCTGTTATCTCTCCTCCCGCCTGGAGATTTTCCATCTCTGCGCTCCAAAGAGCACCGGCATAATCGAGATACTAGGCAAGGAAAATGCTTGCCAAAATTCAAATGACCCATTTGCTCTTTCGCAATATTTTACAAAAAATTACGATGAGCTTGAATGAAGTCTGCCTTAATGGTGGATTCTACTTCAAGTAAGATATTACTGGAGTGCTGTCATCGGATTGCTTGACCTGTTTTCACTGAAAGAAAACATTGCAGTGGCACAATAACTAGCGATCTATTCTTGTCTTCATAACAAAAGCACCATGCACAAATTACTCCGGTCTTCATTTCTCTCTAATATTGTTTTGATCTATTATTAAAAAAAATGTATACTTACATCTATATAGGAAAAATAGTTGAGAATTTGGTACAAATATTTTGTATTTTTGTTCACTTTGTACTTATCGTGAACTTACTTTTTTTTCAGACTCCAGCTTCCACGACTTTGTGAACCACCCATGCATGTGCGAGATCAAGGAACGCTCCGTTTTCATCCACGTCGACGTACCTGGACAGGAGGACAATGCCCCAGATCTTTCAAAAGAGTAAGTCCATCAAAGCTATCGATTTTTCATTGACATCGGAGTATTATTTATGAAAAATGCCAAAAATCATTTGGTTTCATTTCCTTGGCATGGAAGAAATTCTTAACGTTTTTGACAAATCTGCAAAAAGCTTTCCACTTTTCCTATAATATATCAAATTCATCAAAACGATATCGCAGCTGCACAAACGCGCCTAGGCCTGTCGAAACTTTCTTTTCGTTTACACTAGTCTTCCCCTTCGACACGCCTCTTTTTTGTAGGAAAAGTTTTGCGCGCCCGGATTAATAGCGTAACTTTTTGGAGCAAAATGGGCCAAAAATGTAAGCCCCTTTCTAGGTCGCGGTATGCAACGCGCAGCACACCTTTGCCCGACCAATTGCCTACCTACCGCAGCTCACGTTTCCATTACTTTGCTCCGACGTTCTGTAACCATAAATACAGACCTCCGCGACAAAATATTGCTTTGTTAAATTTTTATGCTTAAACCAGACAAAAATATAGTTGCAAAAAATAATGAAAGTTTCACGAAAAACAAATTTTAATTCTCATTTATAATTTATTTTACAGGAAAATGATTTAATTTAAATGAATACAAATTAATTTAATTAATAAAGTCAGATTTAATGAGAAGAATTAAAATTGCATTTCATTTTATTACCTTATTTTATGACCCTAAATTTTCTTAATCCGCAGCTTCAACTTCCCGACAATGGCGACCCTGGGCGAGGATTTGGTCACAGTTCTCGATTACCTGCACGTCAAGTACATCATCGGTCTGGGCGAGGGTGCTGGAGCAAATGCACTTGCCCGCTTCGCCATAGCTCATCCCTCGAGGTGTCTCGGCCTGATTCTGATCAACTGCACAGGCTCAGCTGCTTCTGTGATGGACCACTTTAAGGACAAAGTACAACTCCCTTATCATTAACTTGCTTGCAAACAAACGAGAGGACGTTAATTTCCCTCTATTTCAGTTTATGAACTGGAAGAGCAGCCAAGTTTCGCAGAGCGCCGAGGACTACTTGGTGTTCCACAAATTTGGCCACGTAAGTTCAACTCCGTGGCTCTTATTTCCCTGATATAACTTATTTTGGAAACTTAACTGAGATACTTGTTTCAGTAATTGACTGTGTCGTCGTCGCATTTCCGTTCTCTTTTTTTTTATAATTTGAGATTTTATACTTGCACAGCATTTTGCATTTTAATTTTTGCATGGGAGCTATTTTTATTTTTTAAACCAAAAAGCATGGTCGTAAGAAATCGCTACTTTAACCAATTAATTTACTTTGATTTACGTTTCATTTTTATTTTGCATTTCAATTTCGCGCTTATTTTTATTTGAAAAACATTCGATTTCCCTTCTGGTTTACTTTGATGTTGTACATTGTAATTTTTTATTTTTATTTTTTACCCAGAACTTTTTTTGCTGCGTCATGATTTTCGATTTCTCTTTGATATCTAATTGTGACGTGATTGTTGTTGATTTCTCTTAATTCCATGTTAAAACTCTGATTGGTGGGATTAATTTTCCAATTGCAACAACAGGTACTTGAGGTAATTACCAACCGACCGAATCAGAGGTCACATCTGTTATGTGTTATGATTAATATTATTTTTTACTCAATGTTCTAGATTTTAGACAAAAAACAATATATCTCTTGAAAAGTGACATGTGACTAACTGAGAAATTTAGACGTAGTTAGTTCAGCTCATTGTTAGGAGCATGAAAAACCTGCATCACCTTCTGCACTGAATCTTCCTCTCAATGTTTTACTTTTTACTCGGGTGTGCTGTGATTTTATTATTTTCAAGGAGATACTTAAGCATTATCTTGATAATATTATTGTGTTTTAATATTACGTGATTAGTGATAAATTTTATCACTTGGATAAGGCAAAGATATTTTCACTCTCATTGCGCCTATAGCAACCAACAATAATACAGTTATATATCTACCTCACTTTCCAACGACCCTAATTTTTATTAAATAATTATTACTAATTTCAGTCTTGATTCTCCTTTTTCAACAAACTTTTCAAAAAACTGTTCAAAGCACTTGAAACAAAAGTTAATAATATGCTAGTGACTTTTATTACGCATGCTAGATAATTCAGCAGCATTAAGTACATAAAACAGATTTGCTGCAAAAATTGCCATTTGGCTCGCTATCTATCGATCCATTTCATTCAGCTAGCAATCAAAAGAGCTTTTGTCTTGCATCATACTTCATTTTTCTTCCAGCCTACACATATAATACAGCAGCAGTGATTGAGCCTCCACAATGTTTAGCTTTTCATAGTTCTGTCAACGCTAATTTTTGTTCAAATTTAAAAATATATACACACATAAACTTTCCACATTTTCAACCACACACTTGCTCTCTATCTCTCATCAACTCTTCTGATTTTTATATTTCACTGTGATGCAATGAGAATTTTTTTGTCTGGGTGGTCTCATTATTAAAAAAAAATTTAATTGATCATCCTAATTGGATAAATTTTTCACAGCAACTGGACAACTCCACAGAAAGTGACAAAGATAAGGTGATCCAGGAATACCAGAACCGATTGCGCCAAGCCATCAACCCCAAAAACCTGAAACTCTACGTCAACTCGTTCCTCAAGTAGACAACGAGCGCTGCTGCGTTTTTGTACTGGTTTTAATTGGAGCTACTTTTTGCAGTCGCAAGGACATGCCTGCAAAGAGCATCAAGGCCGACGTGTTGTTGGTGACTGGAGAGAGAGGTTCGTTTGCAGCTGCCGTCGAGAAGCTGCACGCCAACTTGGACAAGAGCAAGGCTACAATGCTCAAAATTGATCGCGTCGGTGATGTCATGCTGGAGGCTGTAAGTATGATGATGCTGCAATATAATAAAAGGCTCTCTGATATTTGCATATAAGTGACGTTAAAAGTTAAAAAAAATTTAAGCTTATGCAAACATAAATATTTTTTGGGTCAAAATTACTTCATATTATTCTACTATTAATTATTTTTCTTTTTTAATTTCCTGAAGTTATGGAACATTTTAATTTTTTTCACCATAAATTATTATGCATTTTTAATTTTTTTTTTTTTAATTACATTAATTTTTTTTTCATTTTTTCAGCCTGAAAAGTTAGCCCAGAGCATCCTGCTGTTCTGCAAGGGCCAAGGTCAGCTAACTTCAATCACAATGCCTGGAGTGGAGAGACAAAGAACCTTCTCCGGCAGCTCTGCGGATGGTGAAGGACGCACCAGACGCCTTAGCCGAGGCATGAGCATGGAGGAGTATGACAAGCCCAACATTAGACGACTATCCATCACCACCCCTGGCCCTCTCCCTCAACTGCCACGTTCTGATTAAAGATATAACAGCAGATTCACTCGATATAACACTGGATGGATTTTTACCCCGAGGACGCAAAAAGAAAATGTATCGAGCCACACGAAAATCCAACATACAAAACAAACTCGCCAGAAAAGATCCTTTTAAATTTGAATGATTCTCGCAATCAAGATAAATTCTTAACCGCAGTCCTAAAAAAACAGCAACCACACTCTCATAGAAATATTAATTATTTATAATTCAAGAGACCAGCAGGTAGCTAAAATTGAGAAAAGCTTTCAGAAAAAACAAATGAAATATATTGTTATGATAATGTATTAACACTATTATTTTAAAGACGTTGTACCTATGAAAATTATTCTAATTCAGCACACTGTAGAGAGTTGGAAATTGTAAAAAAAAAAATATAACTAACCTAAAGCGCCCAGAGTAAATGTCATTGTTGAGCATAAAAAATAAATTAACAGCAGTTGTTGCGTTTAAGAGGGAGCACGTTTAAAACAATTAATTAAAGAGTGGTTTAATCTTAAGATAAACAAGCGTATTTTTTTTGCGATTTAGCACTGTAGGGAATGCATAATGAGAGGTTTCGTTGCTAGAATTAGAGTCGCGAACTGGCTTGTTTTGCACCATGAAAGAAAATGAAAGCCTATGTTACACACACACGCTTCTATGCAAGTACACACAGAAACTTTAAAGAAAATTATTAATGGAAGATCCCTTATCTTTGTATGTTCGTGTTGGTGTTTGGCAGCAATAGAGGCCACCTTTGTGAATGTCGCGTAGATGAGTTTTTCGTGCAAATTATTTGATTGGCTTGTAACACTCCCATAAATTGAAAATCTGCATACAAAAAAGTTCTTTTTCGTAGCATTTCTTCCTTTAAATCGAAGGTTCCGCCATTACTCACAATTTTCAACAAGCCTATAGGTGCCTGATCATTCTAAAAGAGCTAGATGAAAGGGAAGATGAAGCAATCATTTTATTGTCTTGAAAATTATTAAATATTGTATTCTATATCTTGTACATGTCCTACCAATTATAGATTATTTCGTTCAATAAAATGTATTTTGAACACAGAGTGTTAGTGCAGTTTTAGTTATGAATGAAACTAAAGTAAGTCTTGCATTATATCTTACGAGATTTATTTTATATTCCATCGGTGTACATAAAGGCTCCATTACAATTATTTTTTTTCTTGGCATGTTGCCAGCAAATCTCTGGAAGTGATGTTGATATTATGCAACCAGAGCACATTTTTGTTAAATGAGAGACATTAAAAGAGGACGCCATCAATTTTAGGTATTGAAATTAAATTAAGCATAAATTCCTTGCTTAAAATACTGAAAGTATGTAAGACTGCCTCTTGTTATTCAGAACAATATTGTAATTGGAAAGAGGCAAGACAACTGAATTTAAAAGGGAAAACATCAAATTAGGGTAAAACTTATCATTACAAAAATGTTGAAAGTATGAACTTAAATTTGTCAATCCATTTAACGGAGTGTAGAGTATTTACGACAGCATTTTTTTTTATTACTGTTGATTTTCTTAATTAGATCGTTTATCAGCGTTAAAGTCTGCTGCTGGCAGATCAGATTAATGGACATATTGAGAAGATCAACCGAAATAGGCACAGAGAGAAACTTGAAGGAAACAACATCTCAGTCAAGGGACAGATAAGTAAGATAAGAGCACAAATCTCTGTACGTTTTGCTTCCTCTGAAATGCATCGGAGTTTAAATGCTGAAGTTGCTCCTTACTTTGGTTTTGTTTCTTGGTCAGTCACAAATCGGATGAAAACGTTATTCTCGGTGGCCGTGTCCACTTTGTCCTCTTGCTCGTAGAGGTACGAACAGGCAATGGCAAGTGCAGAACCTGCAATAATTTCAGATTTTAATATCCAGGGCACAATTCTCAATGAAGAGCAAAACAAACCATCACTGCTGAAGCATAACGAAGCAACGGACGTAGGATACGGATGAAATTGGCACAGACGTTTCTTGTTGAATCCGTCCCAGACGTTAACATATCCATCGGATCCGCCCGTGGCAAAAGTGTTGTACGAGTTGTGAAAACTGATTAGAAAGTTGATGAAATTAGAACAAATCAGAACAAATGTCGTAAAACGTACCTAATGGCGTTAACAGGATATATTTTCTCGATGCCACCCTCTTTGATCCTATGGCACTTGAACGCATATTTCTTCTTCTGCACTTCTGGATCAGTGTCCAGGTACTCGACAGCTACTCTTCCTTCTATACTGCTCAGTGCATATCCCTTGGTTTGGAAATATGGAATTAATTCTGCAAGACTTCCATAAAGGTAAAATCTACCTGCTTATTTGGGAAGCATCTTATGCATCTGGTTTGGTACTTTAGACTGGACTCTCTCCTTTGCGTTGGAACTCCCATGTTCCTGAGATCCCAAACAAGCACCTTAATAAGCAAAATGATTAGTCTTTGCAAATTAAAGCAAACCAAATCTTTACTTTTCTGCCAGCCGTGCCCACAACCAGGAGCTCCCCGCAAAGACTAGCAGTGTACACTCTTTCTTGCTGCTGGTACGTCCCAGTGCACCTCGGCGTTCTTGGGTCCCAGGTTTTGATTGTGTGATCCCAACTGCCTGTTACGACTCCATTTATCTCCGAGCAATAGTCTACGGTTCGGATCGCACCATCGTGACTACCCAGCACCATTTCTAAAGTCATATTTAAGTTGCAAAAAAACTAAAGCAAACATAAAGTTTTCCTCTCATACCACTACTACTGTTCAAGTCGTACATTTTCAAAGTTTGATCCAACCCTCCACTGAAAGAATGCACTGCGTCCTGAAAGCAAAAAGTTTGAAAAGTTTACAAATAATGTACTTGACAGGAATTTAATTTTGATACTGACCTGAAAGCAGACGTCAAGAACAGGCATAGGGTGGTTGTACTTGAGCCTCATGGTGGTCGTTTCGACATCGTAAAGCCGAACAGTGCAGTCCCACGACGAAACCAGCAAAAACTTAGCTGCGTTCGGGCCAAACTGCACCGACGAGATGCCATCGTCTGGAGGATTTTTCAGCTTGAATTCCGTTCTGCTCTCGACCATGGTGATCTTTTTCCAAGAAAATGCAAGGTTAAGATTTAGCTTCGAGTCAGGATGAAGATAAAAAAGGCTTTAATATACCTCAACTCGGGCCGAAATAAAATCGACGACAAAAGCTGAACCGCGCCAGCTGTGTTATTCAATCTTTTGGCGGTCGCCTGTGAAGAAGCCGCTCGTCCCGTGGTTGGTCGATCACGCCTGGGGCGGATCAATAAAAGCGCGGCAGCGAACGAATAAACAATTTTGACTTGTATGGCGGGAGAACCATGCGTTCATTAAATTTTGGAAAATTATGGAATTGTTTAAGGATGTTCTATTGTAGCGCGCGTGTACACGCAGACAGTATTTAAATAAAATAAAATATAAAAAATGTAACGGGGAGGCTCAGAGTAAAATTTAATTTGAAATTCATTTATGTACTCATTTCTCATTTATTAAATAATACAATTCTAAAAGAAAAAACTTTAATCTTAAACATTTTGAATAATAAGGTCACATGAAATAAATGAAATTTGTAAACAAAAAATAAATTTATAGTTTTGGAAAAATGTATAAATTTAAATTTATATGTACTTTTGTTAAAACACCTCTTAAATAAGCCTTACAATAATTATCACTGACTAACCATTTCCTAGCACTCATGCCATTTGTCAAAAAATAACTCTAATTATTTTGCAAGAGTTTATTTCTAATAGGAAAGATATAAATATTTAATATTAACAGGGAACGATGATATGAAATTCAAATGTTTTAAAATTTACTTAGAACATTTATTTTGTGTCTATGAGTTTATTTACTTGAAATTGAAATACATATTACCAATAGATTCATAACAAAGAGCATAATGCATTTTATATATTATGGATATCTGGATTTTTTGTGTGGAAATATAATATTCAGCTTGCAAGAAAACTTAAAATGAATCAAAGCAGCGCCAGCCGCCAGGGTTGATGAATTTTATTAAGTAGGATTCAAACCTCATCTTCATTTAAAAGCATATTTGGTACACCATCCTCAATTGGGAATTTTCTGCCAGTTTCTGGGCACTCCAGTTCTCCCTCAATGACTTCAACCTTAAGAAAAGCATAGAAATTATAATAAAATAACTTTAAATTATTTTTTATTTTACCTCCAAGACTATGTGGTGCACCTTCTTAAGAAATTCGTCATTTTTTTCATATTCTTCCACGTCTGAGAGATTTCGAGGAACATCTCCGATATGACCAATCTGGGAAAGTTTGATTCAATTAAAACTATTTAATAAAACACGCCTTAATTTTATACACGAACGTTTTACGCTTTAAACCGTTTCAGGAAATCAGCAATTTACACACAAAACAGGTACAAAAAAATGATTTCAATGTATTTCTGAGGAAGAAGAGGCGACTATGTATTTAAATTTAACTTACACTTTCTGCAGCCTCCCAGAGAGCATTCCAATCTAGTTTTTGAATAATCCTCACAGTGAATTCTGAGTCAAAATCACAGTTGATCAGTTTAACATTTTTGGCCTGGAACGAATGGAACAAAAAATTTTAATGTTACACTCAAAATATAACGTATAACTTACCAGAATTTTAAGAGGGTAACCAACGGAGACTCCTTTTATGCATCGCGAAGAGAGCATGTTGTGAGTTAGAAGCTTCATTTTGCAAAATAATTTCTTATGCACGGAATTTATTCACTTTTGTGTGTGAATTTCCAAATAGGGAAAGTTCCAATAGGGCAAAGGGCAACTCCTGTGCCAGGTTCCTCTCCGATACCCGGCGTGCAGCAACCAGCAAGGGCAAAGCAAAAAGCAAAAAGTAAACAAACAAATTCTCCGGCCCTTGCGCTCAACTTGCGCTGGTTGCGCTGGATGACAAGTTGCCAACCTAGTCTTCATGCATTGCTCACTTGTTATTTAGCACCCAATTAATATAATAGGTTTATATGGTTTATATTCATTTAAAAAATATTTTATTGGAGAAATTATGGTTTAAAATTAAAGGAGACGAATTTAATCGAAAACGTTTTGAATTCATGCAGTACTTATATTTTCATCATGGTGGTCACTCTTATGTATACATTTGACATTTGACAACAAATCGATAATAAACATGGCAGCTCTCTGGTGATATCAACAAGTTGCATCTTTTATTTTCTTTCGTTTCTTAGTAATTCGGTTCACAATGGAAGCGGAACCGGACTCAAAGCATTATGAACAATTTTTACAAGAGATCGAGGGCACGGATGATTACTGGGGTCCAACTTTCAGGTGAAAATTTGAAAAATTTGTGTCCAATTTTTACGCCCACGACTGAACTATGTACATAATTTTGAGACCTTTTTAAAATGTAATGAAGTGCAATGTAGTGCGTTCATTAGCATAAATATTATATTCTAGTGTGATAGTACAGACCGTTGTTGCATATTTTTTGCATTACAAACATTATCGTCGTTATGTTATTTTTAAACATTTCTGATCGAGGAGGTTTCAATTTTTGGGTTTTTGAGGATTGAATCAGATTTAATTTTTGCTTTATGCATACTGTGCATCTTAATTTAACAAATGTAAAAAATAGAAAATAATTTTTTTTACTTATAAATTAATTTTGCTCTTAGGCTTGGAACTTGAAGCTTAATTTTTGGGTATGTATTTTCAACAATTCCGCTCAACCCCTAAGTCTTGTAAAATAATATGGCGCCAACATTCAAAGTCTGACGCATGGCTAGTGTCTCGTCTTCGATTTTCGATAATTGGAAAGGCTTCTGCGCACTGGAAGAATTTCCGTGGAAAAGTTTGATGAAAAGATTGCTCACCAAAGAAAATTTTGACTTTTAATAAGGCTAGAAATGTCAGACAGAATCACAGAATCTGCTAGTTTATATTCAATTGCCTCTGACTCGCGTTATGAGCATTTGCTGTACGAGTTAGAGACCAATGACACTAGCAGCGTTGGATTGGTCATAAGGTATATTAGCCGGAAAATGCGTAGATTAATCCAATTAGAGGAGCGTAGAATTCAGATAATATTTTTAGCAATTCAATTATTGGCTTAATTTAGTCTCAATTATGTGAGCCAAAAAGGCAAAGAAGTAATTTGGCTTCATGCATTTTTGTGAGTTGGTCTATAATTAAATTTAATTTTTTTCCAATTTAATGACTTAAATTTTGTAAATTATTATTGCCACTAAAATAAACTTTTCTATATAAGTGACAAATTCATCTTTATGATTATTTTCATTGTTATATTTTAATTCAAATTTAATTCTAGCAACTAAATATCAAATAACCAAATTTTTTCACAATATAATATATCTATAATTATTTCAAATAATTTTTTAATGAGTAGCGCGTAAAGTTAATTTGGCTAATTTTAACTTTGAGTGCTCAGCATGGGACCCAATACGCAACGGCTATTTCTGATACCCCTGCTCAAACACAGCTAACCATTTCCTTCCCTTTATCGGTTTCCCAAGCCTAAAGCCAAATCCTGATAAGAGTATCACTGTGGCTAGAGCTATGGAAGAGTCGGCAGCGGAAAAATATTTTGCCGAGTTTTTGTCCGGCTCTAACATAGAGTAAAAAATACACTTAAATTGCATTGAATGAAGCAAAAATTTGTGTGTCTGTAGAAATAATTAGAAGGTAATTTGCAGGGCCATTTACGATGGCGACGAGCACAAGAGTTTCATGGAGAAGCTGGATGCACGGATCAAAACGCATGACAAGGACATCGAGAAAATGTGCAATTTCCACTATCAGGGCTTCATCGACTCAATCAGGGAACTCCTCCAAGTCAGGACCCAGGCCCAAAAGTTAAACGTGAATAATCAATGTTTTATTTACTTTGCAAATATTCTTATCCGCTAAATCTTGCAGGAAGGCGTTGTGGGAATAAACACGGAAATTCGAAGCTCGGCTGCTGCTTTGGCAGCAAAGGGTGAGGAGTTGTGTAAGGCGAGAAAAACCGAACACAACATTGCCACGGCCATCGAGAGCCTCTCCTTGTGTCTTCCTGTTCTCACAACCTATGCAAAGCTGCAGAAGCAGATGGCTGAAAAGCGGTTGGTTTATGAAATATATCATTATTTTAATCAATCTTAAAATTTTTATCCTCCAGATACTACCCTGCCTTGAAAACGCTGGAAATGCTGGAGCATCAGTACTTACCCCGTGTGGCTAATTACAGATTCTCACAACAAATGAGAGAAAACATTCCAATGTGAGATTTAATTTATGGGAATTAAAACAAAATAATAATAATTTTCTTGGTTTTCAGTCTCCGTGAAAATATCAAGGATGCTTCGATGTCTGAACTGAAAGACTTTTTGGAAAACATTCGAAAGCTTTCCCCGAAAATTGGGGAGGTTGCTATGAAACATGTAATTATTCATTATTGCCATCTAATTTAAAATATTTAATAATTTTAATTTCTCTATAGACCAATGAGCTGCTAGCTAGTGATCCTGTTGCAGTCGTCAGGAAAAAGAAGCGGCAAGCCCCTGCGCCCCCAAACCCTTTTACAGGGGAGGTTGAGCAGAACTTCAAGAACGTGTCTCTTGATGCAAGTTTAGACGGCGATGACGATTTGAGTGCTCAAGATATGATCGATTTTTCACCAGTTTACAGGTGTCTTCATATTTACACTGTGCTAGTAAGTGAACATTTTTTATAGCGCACTATTGTTGACCGTTATTTTTGCTCAGGGATTAAGAGATCTCTTTGAGGACTACTATCGGAAGCAAAGAAAGAAGCAGGCCCTGTTGGTCATTCAGCCCCCAACAAATATGGTAAGCAATCCAAATTTAATATCATTTTATTATTAACTTTTAATGATAATGTTTACAGAATAGAAAAACGGTCTTTTTATTTTATATTTTCAATATTAAACAATTTTTATAAATTTCTTTGCTTAGCATGAGAGTGTTGCGGAGTACAAAACCTACATTCACGCTATAGTCGGATTCTTTGTCATCGAAGACCACATTTTAAATACAGGCAATGGCCTAGTCACTAGGAGTTACTTGGACGAAGTTTGGTCAATGGCATTAACAAGCATCGTCAATGCTCTGCGGACACACACTGTGAGGAAAACCTTTCATTCCAAAATAATAGATTCCAAGTTTTTTTATTATTACTTGTAGGCTTACTGCACAGACGCCACATTGATGCTGAAAATCAAATACCTGATAATGATTTTTAACAATACACTGAGAGTAAGTAAATTTCAATTAAGAGTAAATTGTATTAGCATTGAAATTGTTTTATAGAACTATGGCTACTCTGTCGTCCAACTGACGGAACTTCTGGCTGAGATCCGTGAGCACTACAATGAAGTTCTTATGCAGCGGTGGGTCCAGGTGTTCAGAGAAATTCTAGATGAAGAGAGTTTTTTGCCGATAGAGGTGAGGCTTTGTTATTTTGACTCGGGAATCGGTAACTATTTATTTTTCAAGGTCCAAACGAGTGATGAATTTGACGATATAGTCAACAATTTCCCTTTTGTGGATGATGGTTTACAGCAAAAGCCGTTCCCTAAACTATTTCCATTTTCCTCCATGGTTCCAAAAGTTTATCAGCAAGTCAAAGAGTTTATTTATGCATGTTTGAAGTTTTCAGACGACTTGAACTTGAGGTACTTAGGTTAAAAATAAAATCACAAAATGTAAGTAAAATTTGTGATCATATTTTTCAGTCACGAAGAGGTGTGTGAAATGATCCGAAAGTCAACAAATCTTCTTTTGACTCGTACATTCAGTGGTTGTCTCTCGTCAAGTTTTCGAAAACCTAGTCTTGGGCTACTGCAAATGGTTCAGATCATTTTAGACACTGGCTACTTAGAACAAGCAACAGTATATCTTGAGGAATTCGTTGCCAACATCACAGGGTTTGTCAATTTTTCCGAAACAAATTAAGTAAAAAAATATTTTTAATTTTTATGTAGAGCCCACGTCGAAGCTCAGTTTGTGTCCAGAAATGGCCCACCAGCTATGTTTCGAGTTGCCCGAGCAGATGCTGAGCAGCAGATTATTGAAAAGCTTCAAAAGAAGCTTGATGAATTTATGGAGCTGGAAAATTATGACTGGATGCTAGGTGAGCCACAAGGACATGCTTCAAGTCACATCGCCGACATGATTGCTTATTTGCAAAGCACCCTACAAGCCTTCAATCAATTGCCAGTGAGTTTTTATAAATTGGTATTTATTTAACTGAAACATAATGCTATTTTGCTCACAAGGTGGCGGTTGCACAAAAAACGTGCAAAGCAGCATGCCAGCATTTAGCAGATGGAATGCTTCATCTGTTATTACAAGAGGAGGTTCGACAAGTCTCTTTAGGAGCTCTCTCGCAACTTAACTTGGATATAATACAATGTGAACGTATGTCTTAATCAGAGATTGTTTAAATTTGATACTAATGGTTATTTTTATATCAGAATTTGCTGCTTCTGAGCCAGTGCCGGGTATTGAGGAAGACGCTTGTCTGCAGTATTTTGCAGAAATGAGACAACTTCTAGATCTGGTCATGACATGGGACTGGCCAACTTACTTCCACGATTATGGTCAAGAGACGAGCAAATATCCGAATGTCAATCCTAACAATGCCATCATTTTGCTTGAAAAGTAATTCAAGGACATTATTGAGGCAATATTAAATTACTGTTATTTCAGAATGAGGGAAGCGGACAAAAAGACTGTGTTTGCAGTTTTGAAGAAGAGTGAGAGAGACAAGAAGAAATTATTGGAGACGGTCTTAAAACAACTGCGCCAGCTGGCTTCAGCTCCAATTCAGCCCTAGATAAAATAATGGCTTAACCAAAGAAAGCATTTCTTGTTATCTAAAGCCTCTTATCCCTTGTTAAATTCATTCTAGATATCATATAATTTAAAGTTTTTTTTTAGAAATAGTATTTTATAAAAGTGCCTTAACAGCTAAATAAATTATACTTTGTTAGCAGAAAATAATATAGAATAAAGCTGGAATAAAGAAACTATAAGTGACGGGGCAATTTTATTTTAATGAAGTACTTCCCCTAAACAGGTGTTTTTGTTAATTATATTATTATTTTGTCTTTTAAAGCTTCGAAAACATTAAAGTTTGCATGAATTTTCATATTCCAATTGCTTACATTTACATGTCAAATGAAAATTACTTATCACTCCTTTTTCATTACAATGCCAAATTCAATATATGAACTCAATCTTATACTTAATTTGATCTTACTGAACGTTTTATAATAAATAAGAGAGTGGAGAAAAGAACCATAATGGTTTAAATAAATTACAAAATTTGTCATTCTAATCTTCTTCGCTCAAAATAAATTAATTCAGATTGGGAACTTACGGAAACAGTCATTCGTAAAAAAGATGTTGTTTTTGAATTCCGACTTCAAATTCATTCATAAAGCAACATTATAGCTCAGTAACCCTTCTTGTTTCTCTGAGGAAGGATCGAGTCTTTTGCATAATTGAAAAATGCAAGTAAGCCATATTTCTTTCCCTTTCTGGAGAAATAGCTGCTCACTACATCATCATCTGGAAAATTTAATTATGAATATAAAGCATAAAAAAGAAAAATAATTAATGTAAATTACCGTGATGTCTAGATTCAGAGACTGTTGGCAGGGTGTTCTCATTTGCAGACAAAGATACAAACAAAGTGAAGGGCACAAGCCAAAGGCAAATTGTGAAATATCCTAAAACCTATAAAAATAAAACATTACAATAAATTGAATTTTATGCAGAAATAATTTTCTGCTTTACCTCTGAGAAGGCAAAGTAATGTGATGAAAAGTGTTGAAAGGCAAGGTAGTGGTTGACAACCAGCATCACTGTAATTTTTTTGTTATTAACTTATGTTAAATATAATTATGATTTTTCAATACTAAAAACGTGATGATTTTTGATCAATTATCAACAATGCATAATGTATCAATTTATATCTGCATTAAAAACGTCTCTAATAAAATTACATCCTCACCTACAGTTGTGACGAATGACGGAGAGAGGACGTCAAAGAATGGGAAAGTCTGGATTATGCACAAGTGTGCCATTTGACTAATGATCCCACAAAAAACTAAGGTTTTTGGAAGGTCCTCAAACAAGAGGAATATTGTGTAGATTCCTAGAACGACCTGAAAATAATAGACATTAAGCAAAAATTTAATAATGAACGATTCATAAAATAAAGCTTAAAAACTTAATCATTTTTGTGGGATTCAATATACAAATTAATTTAAATTAAGTAAAACATACCATTGTCATCCACCAAATAACCTTCCTTGTAGTTGTGGTGTATTCTTCTACTAACTCAGCTAAATAATAAAGCCCAGCAGCTGAAAAAAATTAAATTGTTAATAATAATTTTGAGTACAGCTAGTTTATACTTTTTTAAATATTGAAATGTCTTAACGGGAAAATCTAATATAATATCTGAAAATGTTTGTTATTTTTTAAATGTAAAAAATTTAATTAATTTTTTTAAATTAAAATTGCATTCCAAAATATTTTTAAATTAATATGTACGTATAATTTGTTGAAACTTTATTGAAAATTTTACTTGCCTACTGCGACTGTTACAAAGACTATTTGCAAAATCATTGCAACCCAGCTCAATAAATACAAAGGCCACATCTTTCTGCCGTTTTGAGCCCAGCTCCTTTCAATTTTTTTTTTCTTCTTTTCGGCTGAACCTGAAAATTTTTATTTTCGTCTTTTATTTCGTGGCATGACTAATGCCTTGCGATAAAATTTAGCGCAGTCCTTAAAATTCAACAAAAATATAAATGTTATCAATAATTAATAACTACCTTTCGATGAAAATAAATTGCCAAGACTAAAGTTGCAGCGCAGCGAGCTGCCGACGTTTGTTTTTAAAATCGCATGCAAATGTGGGGTGGGAGGGTCGAGCCGCAGCCGGAAATCATTCAGCATCTCTGCAAGCAAAAGGGATTTTCATTGGCGCTTGTCGCAACACAAAAGTGAATCAGCCAATAAGAAGCGCGAAAGAAAATCATCATCAAAATCATTTTTATTGGATCGTGGTGTTATTTATTCCTGTGTTTTGTTTACGAAACGCAGGACGCCGGCTGAATTTCAAACAAAATATAATTTTCTCACTTTTGCAAGTACACAGCAGTGTTTCCAAAACACCCGTGAACTATGTCCGACGACGAGGAATCTGTTTTTATCAAGAAATCAAAAAATATTCACTATGGATCGCTGGAAGAGGGAGAAAGGGCCAAGCTGACAAGTTCGCTCTCCTCGGTGATGGGCCCTGACTTCAACAGCCTGGTGCCGACTTCAGATTTGAGCAATGTTATGATCTCTAATGGTAGAATTTTTTTATTTTTTGCCTTCTAATTTTATTGACTTTAGAAAAAAATTGCAGAGTACCTTGATTTGGAAAATGCTGTGAACAGGGACAGGTCGGCTCTTCTGGAGGAATTCGAGAAGCGGAAATTGAAGAGACAAATTAATGTCTCCACAGATGACGAGGAGGTGAAGAAAAACCTTCGACATTTGGGAGAGCCCATTTGCTTGTTCGGTGAGGGTCCAGCAGAGAGGAGAATCCGTCTTAGAGAGCTACTGGCAACGTAAGTCCTTATTTTCATGGAATGTTATTGCTTTGAATTCCATTGTTTTAATGTAGGCTAGGAGAAGATGCAATCAAACGAAAAAGAGACGATGAGGAAGAAAAGACCGAGAAGGTTGACAGAGACCAGGATAGCCAGACGTGGTACCACGAGGGACCAGACTCTTTACGTGTAGCACGGATGTGGCTTGCCGAGTATTCACTTCCTCGAGCCAAAGAGCGTCTGGACAGGGCCAGGGAGTTAGTCGGAGTGGATGACATGACAAAGACTGCCAAGAAGCAAGAAATGCTTAAAAAACTTCACGCCATGAGCATTTACTGCAGCCAAATTGGAGACACAAGGCCAATTTCCTTTTGCCAGTTTAGTCCTGATAGCAAAATGCTGGTCACCGGCTCATGGTATGTAATTCGAATTAATTAATTGTTTGTTTTACTCAAATAAAATATTCTGCATTAGGAGTGGACTCTGCAAACTGTGGTCCGTTCCCAGTTGTGAGCCAATTTTGACATTCAAAGGCCACGACTGCAATGTTGGTGCAATTGTTTTCCATCCTGAAGCCACGCTCCGAGAAGGTAAAAGGGTGTGCGACTTAGCGTCATGTGCCGTTGATGGCTCAGTGAAGTTGTGGACTCTGAACAGGTGCATGGAATTAAAATTTTAAAAAATCCTTGTATTATAACTTTTCGATTTTCCATGCATAGTGAGGAACCTCTAGCCAATGTTGAAGGACATGCTCCGAATAGAGTATCTCGACTTGCTTTTCATCCATCGGGCCGTTTTCTTGGCACATGTTGCTACGACAATTCGTGGAGGTTATGGGATCTTGACCAGTGCCAAGAGGTTCTTCATCAAGAGGGTCATTGTAAACCAGTTTATTGCATTGCTTTTCAAGTGGATGGATCTGTGTGTGCCACGGGGTAATATACTAGCCAGCCAAAGGAATTTTTATTTATTTAAATAAATTTTGCAGTGGCTTGGATGCATTCGGAAGAGTGTGGGACTTGCGGACAGGTCGGTGCATCATGTTTATGGAAGGTCACCTAAAATCTATTTACGGCATAGATTTTTCCAGTAACGGGTAACTTTTTGTTCTTGATTTTCAATATATTAAATACTTAAGCAATACATTAGGTATCACATGATTACTGGAAGTGAGGATCATTCCTGCAAAGTTTGGGATATGAGAAAGAGAGCTTGCATCTACACAATACCTGCCCACTTGAACCTCATCTCGCAAGTAAAATATCAGCCAGGCAATGGGGAGTTTATGGTCACTGGATCGTATGACACAACAGCAAAAGTAATCTTTTTTTTTAATTTTGGAATTCTATTGTTTATTACTTAATAATTGCAGCTTTGGTCTCATAAAACGTGGCAGCCGCTCAAGACACTGTCTGGTCATGATGGAAAAATCATGTGCGTTGACATTGCACCAGATTCAAATTACATTGTTACTTCATCATATGATAGGACATTTAAGCTTTGGTCACCTGAAATATAATTTTGTATAATATCATTTTTTGTCACCACTTCAACAATCCCCATTATTTTATAAGAAATATAAAATATATGACAAGAACATTTTTCGTGTTTATGTATATAATATATATGAGAAACCAAACTTAAAATTTTTGAATTGACTATAATAATGATAATAATATCTAATACGTACTTGTAGATTAAGATTGATGTGTTTTTAAAAATTAGCTTTGCTTTTTGTCTCTGTATGGCACGGTGTCGCCTCCCGTCGGCGGTTTCAAGAAACAACTTTAACTTTCATTCTGGTTTCTTCCATTCATCTGGGAAGCCGCAACGAAAGACAACAAAAACAAGTTACAATTACACAACATCGCAAATTATCCTTGCAATACACGATGAGTCCGATTATACCGAACGAAAATCTAGATAAATTCAAGAGAACAGAATCTGGTAAAGGGCCCCACGGATTAGGTATGCAATATTTCAGTTACGTACGAAAAGTACAAAATAATGTTTGTATTGATTCTTGTTTTCAATCTCACTATTTACAATTAGGAGATCCTGACGATTTATCCTTAAGAAAAGTTGAGCAGCAAGTCCTCATTCCCAAAATTATGAGAGAGCGAGCCAAAACCGAGAAGTGCGTTGCTGAAGTCAAAGGTGATTATTAAAAAAAAAAACATATTTCTATAAAATGCTGACGCAAATTAAACTTTTCTTTTAGCATTTACGGAGTGCTGCAGTAATTCGAGCCTGGCAATGGTTTTCTCCTGTAGGAAAGAAAATACAGCTCTTCGTAGCTGTATGGAGAGGTGGTATGCAGACGAAGAGTTCAAGCAACAATGTACAAAAATATTTCTCGATGAACGAAGTGAATTCCGTCGAACGGGTTTAGAAAAAAAGTATAGAACACAGAAAATGTAAGCGAGCACGTTCAAAAGTGTTAGAGTAATATTTGTTGAGAAATAACGCCTTTCAGTTGTTGATTTGTATATTGCTTAATGCATTATAATGTATTGTTAAATAAAAGCCTTTGCCCTCTTATAGAGTAAAATGCAGTGCATTTATCAATCGGAGTCATCTGCACTTGACAATTCATCTTGCTTGGAATGGGCGCCTGACCCTGGTTTCAGTGCCGCTCTCTTAAAAAGTCTTGTTGAAATACTTACCCCTGAGAACCAGTCTAATGTTTCAATTGAAAACTCGTCGGCCCACGAAACTCTGCAAATCACAATTTCCTTTAAAAAAAATTGTAATTTTTTTACTTATAGTTCAATAAAAAATTACTTTGCTTGTAGCCTCAGCAACTCTATTTAAAGTGAGCAATCTTTGCCACGAAAGCTTCTCAACGTCGCTTTCGACCAGGACAATGCTTGAAGCATGGTAACGACTAGGACTGTCTTTGTAGATAACTGAAAATTATAATTTTTTTTAACAATATTTACGAAAAAAAAGCTTTTATTACCATAATCTCCTCCTAGCTTGCTGCCTGATCGTACCACCCATCCTTTAGATTTTAGATAATGGTAAACGACATATCTAATTGGAAAGGTGGGCTGAATGTATGAGAAAAGGGCCCAAGAAAATGTTGGAGTGAGGTCAATCAGCACCTGAGGACATAAATATTTATTATTTATTTTACACTTTATTTAAAGTTTTGATTCATCACATTATTGTTTTGAAGTCCAGATGGTCCAGGTTGAGGGCTGTTCTTGGTATTATTTTCAAATTCGTGTAATATCACCTTCGACACAGAAATACGAAGACAGCAGAGGGCCCACGAAAGGAAGAAAGCTTCTTCGAGGCTCAAAGCTAAGGATTCATCACAGCTCTTGGAGGGCAAGGGTGACATTTGTGGCTCCCTTAAAAAGAATCAAATGCTAAATAATAATTTTATTATACAATAATTATTTTAAGTACCAATGTTTAATGAGATTAGCTTTGCTGTCTTGACAATCGGTGTCCTTGATCACAACTGCAAAGTCTCCCTCGTCACATAATTTATCTTCCTTGGACACCTCTCTTGTATCTTCTATGCTCATGTTTATGTACGTCTCCTTTGCTAATGGAATTATTTGCATTTCTTCAGGTTTATCCTCCTGGTCTTCATTTTCTTTGCTTTCCACCATATTTTCTTGAACATCGGAAGACTTGACGACAGGTGGCTCATCATTGATGATTTCAATATCGTCGTCTTCATCGATACAAACTTGAGTGACTTCAGATCCGGAATTGTGATTCCCACGATCCTTGCTTTGTCCGTTACCATTCACAATAGAAATTTCGTCATCAATGTCAATCACTTGAGGACTTGATGGTTTGCATTCATTGATCTTCGATTCTTGCTCCTCCATGCTCCAATTGATGAATGGTGCATACCAGCTTCTCCCTTGACGAACTCTAACTTCTTGCTCAACTATTACATCATCGTCCACATTGCTGTCTATATCCTTGATTTCATCCACTTGTTTTGCACCCTGGTTAAATTCTGAACCATTTTCAGCATGACCATTGTTCTCGCCGTCATACACCACATCAGACAATTCCAATTCTCCATCACTTTCACTGCTGTTCTTCCCAGGCTGGGCATCTGCCGATTGTTCGGACCATTTCAAACGACGGTTGTACTGACGCTGACGCAAAATGGGAGGTTTATTGGAGTTGAAATGCCTAGTTAACGGGTTTCCAAACGATCCCTAAAAAAAGGCAGTTGTTATTATAGCTGTTAAGAGAACTCGTTTATTTATTTTATTTTTTTTTGCTACCATTGAATAAAGCGCTTGAGCATCTTCTTTATTGGGCACAATTATAGTGTGACCCGTAAAGATTCCTGCATAACAAGGCCATGTTTGAGTGCTAGGTGGAAAACCGGAGAGATCCTCAATGACAATAGGCAGTGGGTGGTGTGATGATCGAGGGACCTGACCATGATGCTTTGGTTGAAAATTGGTTAACTTCTGCCTGTTCTTCATAATAAATTCGCTCTGCTACATTGGTTGCAGTTACCCTAGGAAATGATGAGCATATTTTTTAATTATTATTTTAATTAATATTTTATGTATGCATTAGAATTTATGAGCATAAATAAATGCCGGTATGTAATGCATAATACACAATTGAGTGATTTAAATGCTGTGATTCATGGCCATCTATCATTGAAAAAGAAGCTAGTCTCGGTAAATAATATCCATTTTCACCTCTTCGTAACCTCTACCTACGGAAAAAAATTCGCGAACTTTTCGTCTCGGCGTTTTTTTGCAAATCAGCAAACCATAGCAAGCAAAAATCAAAACATAAAAATCAAAGTGTGGCGTGTGGCAAGGAGGCGTGTGGCATAACTTCTTGTCACGGCCTGTTCACTCCTATGCGCAGGTTTGTACCACTGTTCATACTTGTGAACTGGCTGGTCACGTGACCGTTTCATTGGTTGTTATCATTATTTCGTTTTCCAATAGATGGCGCTAGAAGGCGGAAAACGATTGAAAGTACATAAAATAATACCTCATGGGATTGTTTTGATTGATTTGTTATTTATCAAGTTCTAACAAGCTAAATTCTCAGACTGTTCGTAAGTTAAAATAGAATTACTTTGGAGTGGAATTAAAATATAAATCATTAATGATTTATTGTTTTTCAGCTCTAATTGGCTTTTTTTAAATGTAGAAATGTACATAAATATTGCATAATTGTTTTTAGTCGCAGCTACTCGGCTCGGCACTCTCGACAGAATTGAATTACATACTTTTTATTATTTATTGATTCATTTGCAGAATACCGAAAAGTCTCACCCAATTGATTTCAAATTGTACCAGGGATGATTTTGGCTGTATCCAAGAATGATGATGAAGGGAAAAGAAAAATGCCATCGGTGGAAGTTGAAACAGTTAATAAGACGGGAAGATCTCATCTAAACGTTCAAGTTAGGAAGTGCCATTACATTGATTGTGATAGCACTTCATTAAATGGAATTGATCTTAAATGTGCTCCAAAGGCTTCAAGTATAAATAATGCTGAGTGAGTAACATTATTACAAAAATTAATTTTTGAATATTATTAATACTAAGAATTCGATATATTTTTTATAACTATTATTGTATCCATATAATGTGTGTCCGTATTTATGATTTTATTCAGATTTTATTAATTTAGTGAGTTTGCAATTTTCCTTCAATTCAAAATTACATACTAATAAGAGCAATTTTTATAGGCGTAGAAGACAATGGTTGATAAACATGGGCTTGCCTGCTGATGATGAGCGAACAGATATTCGATGTTGTGTCAAACACTTTGACATAAAATTTTTTTACGGAAATGGTAAACTGATCAAAGATGCAGTACCTAAGCCATGGGTAAGAAACTTGAGTATAAGAGATTGCTATGCATTGAAGTTTTATGAAAATAATGTGTAATACTATCAGATGCCAGCTTTACCGACGAGAAATCTAGATCCAGATGTGGAAGATGTCAATCCAATTGGGGAGTCTTTGGATTGTTCAATACGAAAAACATTTGATGCTGTTGACGGTCCATTGCGAGGATTGGTGAATATGGGGAACTCATGCTATATAAATTCACTTTGCCAGGTATATAAAAAAAATAAGAAGTACTTTGTCAATGTATTTCACAGAGGCTACAATTGGCTGCTATTATTTCCATGGTTATTTGTTTTAGGCTTGGTTTGCATGCAGCTGGATTTGGATGCTGCTTAATAATCACAAAGAAGAAAGTTGCCAACTCTTGAAGTCTAAAAGTTGCATTATTTGCTTGCTGAAAGAAGTTGGTCGTGAGGTAACAAAAACTTGTGCTGAGCCTTTCACACCCTTGGACTTGCTTACACAAATTTGGAGTAAGTTAAAAAAGTAACATTTGAACCTTATTGGATTAGACTATTATTCTTATAGGCACAAAAGATTTTGACGAAGGTTTACAGCAGGACTCCATGGAATTGCACAGAATGTTACTCGAAAAGATTGAGTCGTTGGATAAGAAGGGAGTGAGTGAAGTTTTCGAGGGCAAAGAAGTTTTTGAGCGTAAGATTAAAATATATATTTAGAATTACATTGCATCAATATCCTCCAAAACAATATGCAGGTCAATGTTTAGTGTGCGGCAAAACCCGGTATTTAAGTCAGCCCATGTACGACCTTTGCCTACCCATGGCATCTGATTTGAAGGAAGCTCTGCGTATTTACATGAACAGTGACGATAGCTGCGTTCATGAGCCGTATTGCTCACATTGCCACAGAGGAACTCCACAAAAGGAAATAATTTATTTTCAGGAGCTTCCAAAAGTTTTGGTAATTCAACTGAAAAGGTGATTTTGATTCAAATTTTGATGAGCGTTGTGTAACGGGGATTTATTTAATTTATGTTTTTTATTATTTTTTCAATTTATTATTATTTACTCTGTAATTAATTTTGTTTCTGTTTCCAGCAATCCAAATGAAAATGTGCAGACCCATTATGTGACTAACAAAACTGAGAAGAACATAACTTTTATTTTTTCAACTCGTCTTGTTTTTTTTGCAAGCGTTATTTTTATTTGTTATCAGGGAAGTTTTAGAGTTAAAAAAAGAACATTTTACTTTGTGATTTCATTTTGTAGGTACATGGGTGAAGGAATGTTATTGGTGGTGTTGAAAAAGTGATGTCTGTGGTTTTGTGTTGATGTGCCTCATCAGGTGGTGTGTTCATTTCAAAGAATTAATTAATACGGGATCTGGTATGGATTGAATAAGTGATATTATATTCATACTAAATTATTCTCTATTCAACTTCAATAATAAAAATTTAGGTTCAGCAACCAGGCCAACCAGCTTTTGAAAGACTCTGGTGAAATTGTCTTGGACTATGGTTTGACGTTGAAGCAGAGTATCTTTGCGTTAAAAGATGGCCAAATTATAAAAAAAAATGGAACTGAGGAGGTGTCATTTTTTTGCAAAGCCATCATCCATCATGAAGGTGATTTGAGCAAAGGACACTATATTTGTCAAAGTCTAATGCAAGATGGTACGATCAATATTTACAACGATTCGAAAGTAAGCGAAATTCACATATCTTACAATTTTATCAGTACATTTCCCTGCAGGTGTCCTCCTTCACTGTACTGGATGGTGACAGCCAGAAAAGTGACACAGGTTACATATTATTTTATGAGAGAACCACTTCTGATTCTGATACTTCTTTTGAACACTTTCAATCATCATGTAAGAAAAATAATTATGCACAGAAAGCTAATAAAGCATTAAGAAATATGATCTTACATGATTTGTTATGATTATTTTGAAGCTTCGTACAATAATTAATTTTATTTTCAATGTAGGTAATAGAACACCAATGAACAACCCTCGAACCGTCGAGAATCAAAACCTTTCGCCTCAGATGCTGCAGTCATGGACACCATCTTCATCACCAAGGCTACCAGTTAGAAGTTCTCCTCGTACACCACTTCGCCCATTGAACTCGGATTCCAGCTGTGGTCTGATAGGAGAAAACTGTCAGGCTTCACCACAATTTCAGCAAGAAACGCCTTCATCACCCTATCTGCCAGCCAGAGGCCCAAGAACAAGAAAGCTGCAAATTTCTTCGCAAGCAGACAATTATCGATTTTTGAATGATAACTCTGAGCTGGAGCCTGCAACTTCTCCAGGGTCTCCATACAAACCAAGAAAAAAAATTCAGAGACTGAATAGTTCCAGCTTTGGTGGATCTACAGCATACAATCTGCTTCAAGGGTGCCCTTCGTCCAAGAAGAATCTCAAGGCAGAAGTGGTGAAACAATATGTTTTGCCTCATCTGCCTTTAAATCGGTCGAAGCCTTTTGGTCGGAAACCAACAGACGAACAACATAGACAATCATTACCGCAGCATCAACAAACACCATCTCAACAAGAACTACCACCTCCACCACCTACGTACCCACCTCAGACTTTGCCGCAAGTAACCACTACTCTGCAGCAACCACAGCCACCGCATGAACAACAGGTAGCACCGCCATCCGAGAACGATACACCTACGACACCACCACAAGAACAACCTCGTCCAACACCACCTCAACAGCCACAAGTACGACAAATACTACCACCTCCACCACGATCCGGACATGCGTGCCCACCTCGGACTTTGCCGCAAGTAACCGCTACCCTGCAGCAACCACAGCCACCGCATGAACAACAGGTAGCACCGCCATTCGAGAACGATACACCTACGACACCACCACAAGAACAACCTCGTCCAACACCACCTCAACAGCCACAAGTACGACAAATACTACCACCTCCACCACGATCCGGACATGCGTACCCACCTCGGACTTTGCCGCAAGTAACCGCTACCCTGCAGCAACCACAGCCACCACATGAACAACAGGTAGCAGCATCTGAGAACGAGCAAACTCCAACACAACCGCCTCTATCACCGCCTCAACAACCACAAGTAGCATCACCTCAACAAGAATCACCATCACCACCACGTCATGCACAAGAACAGCAACCTCCACGTCAAAAACAACTACCAGCAAATCCATGTAACATAAAAAGATATTAAAAAAAAAAAAAATTACGGAGGACCATACGCTTTATTAAATATTATCTTTTCTTTTTCCAGCCAAGAAAACACTATTTGAAAAGCTTGACAGAAAGAGTTTGATTGCATTTGCAAAGAAGAAGAACAAAGAGGTCAAGAGGTTGAAAAAGATGAGGCTTAAAAGAAAAGCCACCAACCCTGCTTCGAAGGAAGCTGCCATACTCTATTTACGAAAACACCTGCCTACAAAATGCGTCGATTTTATTGATCGACAAATCAAGCTTCAGAAAGTAAGATTTCATATAATAATGATGTTTTAATGAAATAATAACTTAATCTCAATAGGTGAAGCCACAAGGTCGAAGATATGATCGACAAGACCTTATACTCACCATGGGTCTTCAGAAAGGGGGACGAAGAGCAAGAGCGGCTGTCAGTGACATGTTCATTCTTCCATCAAAAAAAACTCTTCTTCGTTTCACGCAAGGGCTAAGCATCGAACCAGGAATAATTGAGCCTATATTGGAGGGTGTTGGAGATTTTACATCAGATTTAGAGGATGAAAGGGACTGTTACGCAGTTCTCTTGTGGGATGAATTATCCATTGATGAGTTTTTGATGTGGTCCTCAAAGTGGAAAAAATTTCAAGGATTTAGCGATTATGGGCCAGGAGAGGAGACCACCAAAGAATTGGCGGATCACGCACTTATTTTTTTCGTTGTTCTGCTCAGAAACAAGAAGGTCAAGGTTGGTTAATTTTTCTTTTTATTTATATTGTTTTTCATTGTGGTTCTAAATTTCAGTTCCCAGTCTCTTACTATTTTTCTACAGGAACCACGCCTTCATCAGTCTTAGCAAATTTGATTGAAAAAAATATTAGGAGGTTGAAAACTTTCGGAGTAAAAATAAAATTTTGCACTTGCGACCAGGCGCCGACAAATTTAAAGGCCCTGGAAATATTGAAGGCTTGCGCAAACAAACCTTATTTTCTAATAGATGGTGAAATATTTCTTTAACTTTATTAAGTGATAAAACAAATACTTTAATTTAGGGGAAGAAATTTGCTGTGGCCCGGATTTCGTGCATATAGGAAAATGTATAGTAAGCATGTTCAGAAAGTATGACCTGGAAATTGGACCTGGACGATATGCCAAAATTAAGCACGTAGAGGAACTTTTAAGTTTAAAAGGCAAGCTCATCGGAACAACATTAGCACCGAAACTAACGGCTGCGCATATTTATGCAAGAGACAAACAGGCCATGAAAGTGAAACTGGCATTCCAGTTGGTCAGCTCCAGTGTTGCGGCTTCTCTCAATACGTTAATTGCGCAAGGTAAGTCAACAATATAGATTAGTTCACAGGGTGGATCTTCAGTTTTTGGAAACAGGTAGATTTTTCCGGCAGAGCCCGCATCACAAAATTTTGATTTCCAGTGTCGTGATTTTTTCCCTGACCTAAAAAACAAGGAAGAGGTCAAAAAAAAAATCCTTTTAATGGTCATATATTAAAAGTAAAAAAATTAAAATGTGTTTTATAAACTTAATATCAAGTATATATTTAATTTCATTATTTTTATTTTTAAATAAAAAGAGCTTATATAATTTACACAATTATCATTTATCTAACTACAATAACTTAAAATACTTCGTAAATAACTGTTAAATAATTAATTGTAATATATTACATGCATCAAAATCATATCACTTAAGAGAATTTTTTTCTTCACAATTTAATAGGTTATCATCTTTTCAAATTTTAATTTAATTTAAAATTTTATAAAAAATGTTATTTAATTTTTTTTTATTAACAAGGATAAAATACCATTTAACTTTCATTAATTGAAAATAAAATGTTATTTTTAATTTCATCATCATTTTATTATTGCAAAATCGATTTTCATGGTCACTGAGGTCAATGACCTTAAGTGAATTGACCTGCATGAGCGTTGCATGGTTCGATAGGTGAGGTCATATAAACACTTTTTTCATTATTACATGTTTTTGCGTATCTCTAACAGAAACAGAGTTATCGCTGTTTGAAAATTAATTTCGTTTGCGGTTCCGTTCTTAGCATTCTCACACACCGCGTACCGCGCCCAAAGTTGATGATAGAGATCTGAGAGTTTCACAACTTAATCTCCATTACTTGAAGGGAACATCCCTAAAATCTCCATTACTTGAAGGGAACATCCCTAAATTTTTATCAAAATATTTTCAAAATAGCGGATTTTACGGGACATTTTGAAAAAACCAAAAACTTCAATTATCTCGGCTTCTCTTGGTCGGAGAACCAACATCCGGGTATGGTTGAACTCGTCTCATTAAATTCTACAACTTTGCTGTTGATTGCAAAATCATAGGTCAAAGGTCAAGGTCACTTCCGATGACCTTGTTTCATTCAAACTGGAATTTGAGCATCAAATGCAAACATTTTTGAAATTCTGAGATGGCCATTCAATTCTTCGTGAAATTTTACATACAATGTGTGAAAATGGCGAAGTGGTTTTTTCTCTAATTTATATTAAAATAAAAAGATTAAAAAACGTGGTTTTTTGGTGCTCGGATCAGCGATTTTTAAGAAAATCGAAAATAGCTCGTTTTCTGTGCGTCTGAGGCAAAAAATGATTATGTTCAAAATTGATCCCCATTAAAAGTTCTATCTAAATATGCAAAGGTCATTGACCTTTTGTAAACTTGGGTCAAAGGTCACCTTGACCCTTGTCCTTCAGTGAAAAGACCCTAATGTGTGATACATGGTTGGAAAGGTTTTATCACTAAAATAACAATGGTCACCATATTTTTGTCTCTGGCTTTATTTTCCACCAATGTAAGCTGATTATTTAATATATAATGAAAGAAAATGCGCTTTTTTCACAATAAAACCATCATAACTAGGTCGAAAATGAAGCCGGAGACAAAAATATGGTGACCATTGGTATCCTAGTGATAAGACTTTTCCAACCATGTATCACACATTAGGGTCTTTTCACTGAAGGATAAGGGTCAAGGTGACCTTTGACCCAAGTTTTCAAAAGGTCAATGACCTTTACATATTTAGATAGAACTTTTAATGGGGATCAATTTTGATCATAATCATTTTTTGCCTCAGACGCACAGAAAACGAGTTATTAAAGTTTTTCTTAAAAATCGCTGATCCGAGCACCAAAAAACCACGTTTTTTATCCTTTTTTTTAAATATAAATTTAAAGAGAAAAAACTACTTCGCCATTTTCACACATTGTATGTAAAATTTCACGAAGAATCGAATGGCTATCTCAGAATTTCAAAAATGTTTGCATTTAATGCTCAAATTCCAGTTTGAATGACACAAGGTCATCGGAAGTGACCTTGACCTTTTACCTAGGATTTTGCTTTCAACGGCAAAGTTGTAGAAAGTGAAAAGAGGAATTCAGCCATACCCGGATTTTTGTTGTGCGATCACGGAAAGCCGAGATACAGCCGTTTGAAATTTTCAAAAACCCAATTTTGAACGTCCCGTAGAACCCGTAAATTTATAGATATTGGGGTAAGACTGGGTAAAACTATATATTTTTGAAAATCTCCTTGCATGGTCTTTCAGGTCCTAAAATTTTGTAAAGATCGCACGACCCTTGCCAACGCATTGTACCTTTCACGAATTTTCGCCGAGCTGTGATATTGATTGAATGCAGAATGTCAAAATTCACTTTTTTTGTCATTACACATTTTGTCGTTTCTGTAACAGAAATAGAGTTATCGCTGGTTGAAAATTAATTTCTATTGCGGGAAACCAATTATTCAGTTTTTATAATATTCAGTTAAAAAGGTAACTTTTCATCAACAATCACACCCAAATCATTCCTGGATCCACCCAAATACAAAATTATTATTAGTGACCTCCGAGGATAGAAACTTCAGAAATTATATTTAATTTATTTTAATTGAAATAGATATCAAATTTTTAAAATTTTAAATAACAATAAAAAAGTATGTTTTAATTTTATTTAAAAGGTAATAAAAAAATTACACTGAAAATTAGTAAATTTAAAATTCAATGTTATTTCGTCTTCAATTATTTGAAATTTTTAATTAATTTTAAATTTTTTTGTAATTGAAATTAAAATTGATGATATTTTAATAAATTATTAAATAGTATATAGTACTTTTCAATTGTTTTCAATATATAAAATACAAGTTATAAAATAATATATTCTATTTTAACAAATAATTAAAATTGGTGTGTGTGTAATTTAAAAAAATTATTCTAATATGAATTAAAAAAATTATATATGATAATTATGACCATGCATTTCGACTATTTCTAGCCAACTTTTTTGTCAAATTGTTTTCCCACACTTCACCCTTAGAACCCTGGCTCACCCTTTGAGGAGTTAATGTTTCTGGCTATCAAATCGAAATGTATATGTCTCCCTTTTAAATAGAATATTTGAGTCCATGGCGATTATAATCAATTAATTTTAATTTCCAAAGTAAAATTTGGTCGTTTCTGCATCTGATATTTTCCATTCGACGATAAAAAAAAATTATTAACAATAATAATAAGGCACGGAATGTTAATTCTCCAGGGGCGAAAATTCACCACGCCGCCTCTGTTACGTGTTCAAGTATTATGATTTTCATGGAATATATATTAGTAACAAAATTTTTGTAGGTCTCCTCCCGTCTGAAGCGTGTCATACCGTAGAATTTATACAATTCATGGACAACTTGGTCGACTCGTTTAATGGAAGCTCGTATTCGCATGCAAAACCTTTGAAAGGCCGGTTAGTATCATCATGATTTTCTAGACGAATTTGATTGAATTTGTCTTTGACAACTGAGCTCATGCATTTGGCTATTGATCGGAGCCAAGTTAAATAATGTCTTGGAATTATTATTATTAAGCCAGAGAGGTTTAAATAATAGGTATCATAATTTTCAATTTTTTAGGCTGCATGAATCCTCTGCCCACTGGGATTTTTGGAATAAAGCTGAATTATTTGTGGGGAAATGGAAGTTCAGAAAAAAAGATGGGACAACAGTCTGGACGCCATCCATACACTCTCTTGTTTGGCTGATTCGATCAATGAAACTATTTTTTCCGATGATGCGTGCAAGAGGGTTTGAGTTTCTCTTAACAAGAAGAATTCAGCAGGACCCTCTAGAGAATTTCAACGGGGAAATACGAGAGCAATGTGGTAGCGGACATTCCCCCACAGTTTTGACTTTCTGCGCTTGCTTGGTTGGAGCTTTTTTTAACCTTTTAATGTATCTAAAACTCCACAATGAAAAGAAAAATTGTGAGGACGATGGATTAAGCTGCCGTGAGCTGGCACCTTATATTTTTGATGCATTTTTTAGAAAGGTACATTTAAAAAATTAAGAATGAAAAAGTAATGAAATTCTTTCCATAAGGTACAACAAAACCCCACCTTGCCTTTGGAGCCTGAACCATGCGAAGACAGTACATCTGATGAGGAGTCTCAAGATGCGGACGATGAACTCATTGACTTGCAGAGCCAAAGTGATTCGTATTTTGGAGGAGTCGCATTGAAAAAGGTGGACAATGTTTTGCATTGTGCTATGTGCATTGAATCTGCGACATCCAGTGAAACACTGCCCAGCCAGGTCTATACCATGTTTAGAGAGTATCGCGATAATCAGTCCAAACTGCTGTACGTTAGCGACAATTTCGCAAACTTTGTTTGTTCAAAACTGAGGAGAATTAAGTCAGAGCTCCATACTAAACAGAGTATGCCAAAAGATGTATTCAGACATATATATGACAAGGTTTTGAATGATGCTTCATGTGAGTTTGGTTGTTCACGTCATTCTGAACAATTTCTTCAAATATTATTTCAATATATTTTTAAATGTGCAGTGCATTGGTACGCCAAAGAAACTTTGAGGAGTAAAAAGAAGTATTCTAAATATTACATTATTTACTTTTAATTTTTTCAAACGGATACCTGTCTGGAATTAAGAGAATATTTTTAATCATTATTATTTCTATTAAAAAACACTTGCTATGCGGCCATACATACGAAATGTAACCCGTTAATTTATTTTTCCGCGTATGACTGCCAATAAATAATATTTGTTTTGTGCGTTGACCGCTGGAGCAAGACCTTGTTGAGCAAGACCACACATTATTTTTATTGTTGATTTTTACCGCCGCAAAAGTACAATCCACAAGCACGCCTTGATTCTGATTGGATGAGAGCTCGATCGCTGCGCCTCTAGCGGATAAAGTATTGTCAAAGAAATTTAACATTGAGTGTCCCATCTCTATTTACATTGTCTCTGCTTCTTGTGGCATAAGAGCAATCATAAGAGCTAAGAGCTACCAACGTAATTGCCGAGTATTAGGCGGGAGAAGATACGATATGATCTGTTAGTTCTATTGGTTTAACTGTAAATAATATTATTGCCAATCTGCCCCTCCCCATTCTTACGTCTAGCAAGGAAAAGGGACACCACGTGCACGTCGTGTTTTTACGTGTCGGCATTTCATGCTGAGATTTTCTGGTTGAAATTTATTCCATTGTCCGTCCATCTTCGGACACCGCCTGCATCGTTACTGCAATCCGCATTTTTGGGCTGCTCGAATCGTAGAGTTTCTCCCGTGACTGCAGAAGAAAAAACACGCTAAAATGGCTCTTTACAACTTCAAGAAAATTATGGTTGTTCCACCAGCCAAGGTATAAAATTTAATACTTCTTTGTCCAGATATTTAGTATTATATTATGAACTTATCATTTCGTGTTACTGAAAATGAAGATTGATTTAAATTATGTGTGCAGGACTTCGTGGACATTATCTTGTCTAAAACTCAAAGGAAAACACCCACTGTTGTGCACAAACAGTACAAGATTTCCAGGATTAGGTCATTCTACATGCGCAAAGTTAAATTCACGCAGCAGAACTTCCATGATCGAATTTCGCAAATCATCCAGGATTTTCCTAAACTTGATGTGTGTACATTTTTATAATTAAAATATTGAATATAACATGAGATTCTGAAATGTCCAGAACGTTCATCCCTTCTATGCTGACTTGATGAATATTCTTTATGACAAGGACCACTACAAACTTGCTCTAGGTCAGCTGAACACTGCTAGACATTTGATTGACAAGTACAAAATTTTAAATTGGGAAAGTGGAATTATTAATTATGTCTTTTAATTTGAAGTGTTGGCAAAGATTACGCCCGTCTCCTCAAGTTCGGAGACACTTTGTACAGGTGCAAACAACTGAAACGAGCTGCCCTTGGAAGGTTTGTACTCCTTGAGTAGTATATAGGCAGCTAAGTCAAAAGTTTCCTGAAATTTGCAGGATGGCTACAATCATGAAGCGCCAGGGTCCAAATTTGTCTTATTTGGAAAGTGTTCGTCAGCACTTGGCTCGCTTGCCTTCGATTGACCCGTATACTCGGACGATCCTTCTCTGTGGCTTTCCTAATGTCGGAAAGTCTAGTTTTATCAACAAGGTATTCCACATCAAACTTTTTTTGCAAATTAAAATTAATCTGATTTTTTAATAGATCACCCGAGCTGACGTTGAAGTTCAGCCATATGCCTTCACAACTAAGGCACTGTACGTGGGACACATGGACTACAGATATCTGCGTTGGCAGGTGATTGACACACCTGGAATTTTGGACAAGCCATTGGAGGAAAGGAACACAATTGAAATGCAAGCTGTGACTGCTCTGGCTCACCTCCGAGCTTGTGTTGTTTACATGATGGACTTGTCGGAGCAGTGTGGCAAAACTCTTGAGGAGCAGGTCAAGCTTTTTGAGAGCATCAAACCACTTTTTGCCAACAAGGTTTGTTTTTTATAACAAAATCTCCTATTTTAATTTAATACAACCTATGTTAAATTAGCCCTTGATTGTTGCTTTCAACAAAATTGATGTTACACCTTTGTCTTCACTTGATGACGATCGTAAACTTGTTTTGGAGCAACTCATTAAGGATAACAAAGTGATGGAGATGAGTACTTTAACCGAGCAAGGTGTTATTGAAGTGAAGACGGAGGCCTGTGAAAAGCTTCTTGCCACCAGAGTTGAGACGAAAACTCGTCTGAATAAGACGGAAGGAATCATGAACAGGCTGCACGTCACTCAACCAGCACCTCGAGATGCAAAGACAAGGCCGCCATGCATACCAGGTACATACATTTTTTAAACGTTTTACAAGAAGTTAATTCATTGATGAAGATGGAGCTGTGGAGTTCCGTAAAAAGCGTTTGGCTTTGTTGGCTGCCAAGAAGGCTGAGGAAGAGGGCGATGAAGGTGATTCTGAGGAAGATGAGGATCAAATGGAAGTCGAGAAGAAGAAAACTGAGAGGGACATTGAAGTGGAAATGGGAGATGATTATATTCTTGATCTTCAGAAGAAGTATGATCTGCCTGAAGAAGAGAAATATGACACCATTCCCGAGTTCTGGGAGGGGCACAATATTGCGGACTACATCGATCCAGACATTTTCAAGGTAAATTTGAAAATTAAATTAATATCATAGAATTTCATTGTTTTCTGTTTTCAGAAACTGGAGGCTTTGGAGAAAGAAGAGGATTTGCGAGAAGCGGCTGGGATGTATACAGTGCCGAAGATTGAGTTGGATGATACAATGCAGGAGATTTGTCGCCTTGCTAAGCAAATTCGAGACAAAAAGGCTATTATGCGTGATGAGGCTCGGATTATTAAGAGCAGTACAAAGCCGAAGCTACCCAGAACTGCAGCCGCTAAGGACAGAGATAGGAGTGTGTCTCGTCTGAGAACTCAGATGAATGATTTAGGCGTGGAACCGTCTGAGAGTGAAAATGTATTTGCTAACTTTAATTATGTCAATGTTTCTTAATAAACTCTCCAATGTAGGCTCACTACTTGAAAGCAAACAAACGAGGACGTTCAGCAACTAAAAGTCCTGTTGCTACTAAAAGGATGAGAGTAGACTCTGAAGGAAGGGCCAGAAGCATGTCGAAGACGCCTAGGGATGAAATGGGAGTGAAGAATCCAGAGGTGAGATTATTATCATATGGCCGTCTTTTTTATTCAACGTGGCATTTTATTTTTTTAGATGCGAATCAAGCTGAAGGATAAGGCCCATAGGGCCATCAGAAAGAAGGTTGGCAAGAAGGGTCTTAAAGGAGAAGCTGATAGGTTTATTGGAACTAAGATGCCCAAGCATCTGTTCACTGGAAAGAGGGGCATTGGAAAAACGGACCGAAGATAAACTATTTTGCTGCTATACCTTGTTCTGCTTCAGGATATTTTATATATCGCAAATAAAGGCCACTCAAATAAAGTTGCCACTCAATTACTCTTTACTTGTTTCTTTTAAAATAAAAATATTTGAAAAAAGGTAAAATAGCTACAAATAGGTTAATTGATGATTTTGTGAGCTGGATAGTAGAAAAGACTTCGTTTGTATTCTGCAATATTCTTGACTTTGGTGACAGTCCTCTTCAAGTCGCCGGAGTCAACATATTTCAGACACATTTCATCATGACCGCATTTGTTCTGCTTGTCTTGTACGTAGGTAACTTCTTCACTAGCAATCAATCCCTTGACCTAAATAATTAATCATTAGTAGATACAATGCCACTTTTTTTACTTGAAATTTACCGCAACTGTCATTATGCGTCTTTCGCTTGGATTCAAAACAAACTTGTTAAAGAACTGAAGCATCTCCTCGTGTGTGATAGTTTCGATGATATCATACTAAAATTTTAACAAAAGGTGAATTGAATCAAATTTTTTAACAATATCTACCTCAAGTTGACGCCTATTAAAAATGTGTTCCTCTGTGTAAACTTCCTCCCAATTCCTATCCACCTCTTCCCTTAGTTGAACATCGGCTTGCAATTTTTGGCGCATAGCAGACTTCCTCAGTTGCTCTATTTCTTCTGAAGTCATGTTTTTCAGATCGTCATAAAATTTGACTAAGAATTCTTGAATCTTTCCATCAACATGGGTTAAGCTACAGTAATGCCAAATTTAAAAAAATAAATCCGAAGGGAAAAGTATTTTTACTTATTTTTATCCTCTTGGTTGTTCACTGCAACAGAAAATCTAAGAATGCCTTTGATTATGGAAACAGATGTCCCAACACTATAACCAAGCTGCTCCTTTGTTCTCAAAAAATCAAAAGCTGCTTCTTCAAAAAGCAACTGAGAGGTTAATTTTTTTTATAAAAAATCCGTTTTTTAAATTTAAATGCATTACCATCATCATTTCAGCAACACACGAATACCTCATATTGCCTAGCCCGCAATAGTATGTCTGTGCAATAGCAGAATTAGAGCTGTTTTTATTAACTGAATCAACAGTTAAAAAAGCTTCACCAACGGGCAATTGGATCAGTCGTAGCTATAATAAATTTTGTTATACCAAATACATTTATTTCTGCAACAAATTTTAAAAAGTACTTGGGGCCAGGTATTTGTAATCAATTGCTTGTACTGCAGTGTTCTATGAACAATGTTGTAAGTGTCTAGGGCCTGATCTTTCAACATATTCCCCTGGATTAGCATTCGACAGTAGAGCCGTTGCTTAAGTTGCTTTGAGTAAAGTTTCAGTTGTTCAAATGTGATATCATCAATTGCGTCATACTTCTCGATCACAGTCCAGTGTACGCTCTTGAGTATTGAATTGGTTACATCTCTAAATTAATAATTTGTTATTAAATATCCTTCCGTAAGTTTCATAGAGTGATACATACTTCATCAACTTTGAAGGTTTAAGCGCAGAGTTGTAATAGCTCTTTTTTATTACATCTTTGATGGCAACAAACAGTTCCTCGTTAAAATTTTCCTCAAAATTTTTCCATTCTTTCAGAATTGTCTCCATTAGCAGCTATAAACATTTTTTTTTTTAAATAAATGGCCACTTTCATGAAAAGAAAAAAACATGACTCACTGGTAGCTTTTCATTGTATCCTGCAATCATCAAACTAATCCCTTGTCCTGTGCCAGCTTCCGAAGGATTGATCGAATATGAGAGCTCAGCAACTTGAGCAGGGTACACCTCTGTAGTCAATTTCTGTTTCAGACCTCCAATCATCAAGTCCAACATGCATGCACTGCCAAAAAGATTTTGCATGAAGACGTGATTTCAATACAAATATTTTAATTTCATACTTCTCTGGTGAAAAGAATATCAACGGAGAGACAATTTGAAAAATAATGTAAGCCCTTGGTAGGTTAAACTTTTTGTCTTGCTTGAACCAAAGCTCTCCCATGGTGTCATTCACTATGTTCACGGGGAAGTCTATTTCATCTTCAGGTGCGAACACAGTAAAATTCTTTGTAAGATATGGGTTCGGCTCAGGCAATTTGAACGATTCAAGGGGAATGACATCTTTCCAATGTTGCAACCAATCCGAAGGCACATCTATTTGAAAGTTACATTAAAATTAAGCAATTTTAAATTATGATTACATTTAATTTTAGTTTACCTGTGACATTGTACGGGGTATTGAACCAATCCTCTTTCTTTTCATACTCCTCTTTGTTGTTGTTGTTTAAAATCATGATATTTACATTTTCGGGGCTGAGGTAGGAGAGACATTTGGTGATTGCGTCCGCATCATATTTAAAGTACAACTCTGGGCCACTGAGGTAATGTTTGGATGGGTATTTCTGCATATTCTCTGACAATTCTTCAACATTATCCCCTGGACTTGGCTCAGGAGAGAACCTAAACTTTGTTTCTTGGATTGTTTTCAGCTCATTGTAAATACGCTCCTGAGGACCTTCCTTGCGCATTAATTCTAAGTAGCTGAATATTGCTTGCAAAACCTGTGAGCACACATTTTAAATAAAAGTCTGAATCAACATAGATAAAATATTAAATACCTCATCAATGTGACTGTACCCTTCTTCAGTCAAAGAAACAGTCAAACCAAAGTGAAGGAAGTAGGAGTTATGGTCACTTCCAGATTCGTCGCTTCCTGCATACAACTCAAGGCCCCAGACTCTGGAATGAACAATCAATTTAATAATATGGACTCAAGTAAACTCAAATTTCATTGGAAGATAGAAATTATATATACCGTTTTCTTAGGTATTCAATTAGACTTCCATGGCCTTCGTAACCCAGGATCCAAGATAAGTATCGGTCGGGTTTTGACTCATACTTTTTCATCATTGATGGCAGAGACCAAGTCAGTTGAACCTTAAATTTGATCAAGCAATTAAATGTAAAGAGACACCATTCTCTCAAGCAGAGTCTACCTCTTGGACGTCCTTGACGGGAGCAACATAGTACAACTTTTTAAATTCAGGGGTGTCGAATGGTGCCTCTAGGTCCAGGTTAGCACCCACTTCCTTGGTGATGTTTTTATCTAAATTTGCACTTGGAACTGCGCCAAAAGATTCCAAGACCCATTCCTGCATAGTAGCCAGGTCATGGGTACTTTGGATAGCAAGGGTCATTGACTCAGCAGTGTAGTGCTTCTCTCTGAACTCTCTCAGTTTTCCATGAACATTTGAGTCTGTTTCATTTTGTTTTTCACCTGCAGTTCCTCCCAATGTCTTAACGTTTCCCCAGGCAAATTTAGCTGCTGGATGGTTTTTCTTTGCCAATGTGCCTAGAAGTTGTTTTTTCCTATGATAGTCAGACGGTAGAGCAAGGTTGAACTCTGAAAATTGAGTGAAAATGTGTGTTTTTTTTTTATGAAAGATAAAATAAAAAATTATTAAAATTACCCGACTCGATGGCTTCTCTTTCTCGTTGCATAGCTTCCTTTTTCAAAAGAGGTGATATGAAGAACTGTGCGAATCTATCTAGGGCATCTTTGAAACCTTGAGTTTGGGAAACAAAGTAGAATGTTGTCGTTTCCCAGTCTGTCGAAGCATTGTCCTCGCCACCTTGTTTCTAGTTTCCAAAATGTAAATTTAGTAACAAAAATTCTCTTTTAAATATACCTTGATAAATGCGTCAAAATTATTTTCCTCTGGATATTTTTCACTGCCCATAAAGACCATGTGTTCCAAAAAGTGAGCTAATCCAGGTAGCTCATCAGGATCTTCAAAGCTGCCCACGCCAATGGTTAAACTTGCTGCCGATTGGTGCTACAGAAATGGTTGATAAAAAATACTGATAATTTCTTTTGAAAACTATTTACAGTCTGAGCAGGTTCGCTGTCACTAGAATTGCTTCCCTCTGCATCACTTCCTTCGTCCATAGATTCCGCAGTCTCAGAAGCTTGAGAACTAACTGTAGATGCCGTATCATTCAAATTGTCATCTCCTTCATCAGGTTTGTGAATTAGCAGAGCTGTGAGTCCATTTTTTAATTTGATGACCCTAAAGCATAACACACTTCATGAAATTTGACCTCATTTTTTAAATCAAAATAAGTTTACTTGTATTCCTTTTTGTCGTGCTCTGCTTTGTCAGGAGATTCCAACTCCACGAAGGGTTTGTCATGGGGTTTGCCTCCCTTGGTGTACATGGTTCCTGCAGAAAAGCTTACGTTGGACGGTCTAGAAGTGCTGCTGTCGGCTGCGATCTTTGACACTTTTCCATTGACAATGTCAGACACTCCGTTTGCCCCTCTCTTCATAAGTGAATATGAGTTTAGCACCTTCCTGCTTATCTCAGCAAATATTCTCATTCACCGTGTTGTGACAAAATGATGACCTTAATTGAAAAACAAACAAAAATTTGCAAATTTTCTTTAACGGATGATAAAACGTACATAGAGGATTTTTGCAAACATCAGCTAGCAACAAAATTAAAGCACTAGAACAACACACACCCATTAAAAAATATAAATGTGCATATGTATTGCATATATATCATCTTGTTTTAAATTGTATTTTAGCTCCTGTATAGATCTTATTTAATGCTCTAAATTTATATTATTAATTATTAAAATCATATTTTTGAATTCCATAATTTCGTTCCGTACCGTTTTCGTAATATTATTATGAAGTTTTCGATTTTTTTCAAATCAATAATTGCAATAATTGTCGAATACACATATTTATTTTAATTCCGTCAAGACTTTGGAAGTGTGATTTTTCTGATCAAACGGGATTAAAGGGATTTATTTAATGATTAATTGTGGGAGGTTGATTTTTTTTAAATTTTTTGAGATTAAGATTGCTAACATACATTTTATGTAAACAAAACAAGGCCGTGTGACCTCTGAGGATAGCAGGGGCCAATCGGGTCAACTTACATAGATTAAAGTGACAAAGTTCGCAGCAGACGTGTTTTCCAGTTATGTATGAGCTGCGAGAGGATAAACAAAAAATCATTCGTCGTTCTGAAGAATTTAAAGTTTTTGCAAAAAGACAAATTATTTACAAGGCCGAACAAACACGAGGGCAAAACAAAAGGAACCCCACCATAATTTCGCCACTCCCACTAATCCGCGATCAGCGCGGCCTCTATTTGTCAAGAAACGAACCATTGCGAACGCCGCCATATTTGTTTCGTGCCCCTTGCCATCAATCACCGAAGGGTCTCCAAATTGGCTCAAGTGCAACTTGTTGCATATTTTTGTGTGCCTTTAACACTATACACCACTGTATAGTGTTCTTTTATCGTCTGAAGAGGTAAACAAAGTGCCTATGCGTCTGATATTTATTCAACCTTACACCTGATCACGCTATTTCGGACACAAATTGCTAAAACTGAAGTGTCAATTTGTCGGTTGTCGCTTCAGAGCGAAAACACAGCACAGCCCTTTGCCACGCCCTATGATCCTGAATGTATTTTAATTTTTCAGTTAAATACACGCCGACAAAATAGGCCTTTCGGACACAGCCATCATGGACATGATGATCAGCTCTCTCCAACAGCAAAAGAGAGTAACTGAGCAGTTACGTCGCGAGGCGGCTCTCAGAAGGATGCTGGTGTCGCAGGCCGCTGCAGACATCATCAAGTTCATCTCTGACCACCAGCAGGAGGACTGCCTTCTTGTAGGCTTCAGTTCTCAAAAAGCCAATCCCTTCAGAGAGAAAAGTAGTTGCAACGTGCTCTAATTTAATTTTCTGTTTCAATAATACGTTAATCATTCAAGTTAAAAAATGCGTTGAAAGAAAAAATAAATTTCTGATTATTTCCCAATCTCTTTTGTTAGATATTATGTATATTAAATATTTGGTCTCTTTTAGTTGTAACATACATTCTCTTTTATAAGGCACAAAATATGATTATTAGAATCTTTGTAACTCCAATATTCTTATATACAGGTCTTCAAAATTTGGCAACAATAAAATTTTATTCATAATTAAATTCAACTGAAAAACGCTGAGAAAATAATTAAAAATTGCAATTAAATTTGGCTGACCTTGTAGCTTTTTCTTTTAGCAATTATTTTATTGTTAGATATGATAAAGAAATACATTAATCATTCATGTACCATTATTATTTATCTGATTAAAAATTTATTGTCAGTATGCAGTTTTCTGCCAAAAAATTGATGTCTTCGTAACTTGTCTGGGAAATCAAAATTGACTTGAATACCACTGAATGTTGTCACATCCTGTAATTGACCTTAAACGTAGCAGTTCCTTGTCAGTTTTCATGGTGACACCTTTGAATCCGCGATGATGTTTGTAGTTGTAGTACCTTGTTGACCAGAGGCCTACCTGAAAACCGCATTTTGTCTGCCTTACTTTGCAGCAACCCTTTGCAAATACTACAGAGTTGTTATACTTGCAGTAACCTAATTTGATCGACAAACTATTTTTGTATGAGACGTATTGTATCCTTGGATACCGAAATCGAGGTGCTGCTGGGCTGATACTTCAAACTTCCAGGTCATTTCTTCATCTTCCTTCATTAGTTGGCTACATAACATTTAGTGTAGCGGTTAATGATGTGAATAATAAATAATTCAATACAAAATTGTTGAAATCTTGCTTTTATTTTAATTTTGAGACATTGTTTAAGTAACATTTATAAATGCCTTTTTTGCAAATCAATATAATTCGGGCAAAACGCTACCTTTGCACTTCAATAATAAGAATTGTTAAAAAAAAAACTATAATTTCTTTGGCCTACAATGGAAATTTTTAAATTCATTGCTATTTTGACAATATAAATTTTTAATGTTAGAACAGATCAACTAGTTATTTTGGAACTAATTAAATAGGTCAAAAGTGATCTATTAACTATAATCCAATTTTAGATTATACAAATTAACACCTCAAAATTATTGCACAACAAAAGAGGACTATGTACTTATTGGCATAGTCAAATTAAGTCTGTTCAGCAATTGGAGTTAAAATTTATAATAATAACAACATTGTAGTAAAGATTTGATTTGCCAATGCCAAAAAGATGTCCTTAATAATAATCGAACCTCAGAGGAGATTCTTAGGCCAAAAAAGCTCTAATTACACAAAGCGAAAAGCAAGTTCACATGGGTGGTTGAGAATAGTCAGGGCCACTCTGTGACGACGAGGAACTATACATTGGACTGAAGCTGGACTGCTGATATGTGTAACTGTTTGTGGGATACGCTGGATTATACACTTGGTTCTGATATTGACTGGGGTTACCGGGTTCGTAAGACATGTAAGGGTTGGTTGGTGCCACAGTTGTAACAGGAAAGTCGGGTCTGTGAAAAGCGCTGTAGGGGTCAGCGTATTGCTGATTATGCGTTGCTACGTTAGAATAGTTTTGGTACGTTCCTGGTTCAACGTAATAATTATCTTGAGACGCAACTATTCCTCCACCACTTGTGTGCATCGTCGTTTGAGGAAACTGCTGTTGTTGCTGATTGGCAGCAAAAGTGTTTGACGAAAAACTAGGCAGAGGAGACGAATCAATCTTCCTTGTGCTAGTGGCTGGTAGAGGAACAGAGGTAGTTTTTGGCAAAGCTCTCGATGATAATTGTTGCACCACTTTGGAATGAAGAGTGCCGTGCACAGGACCTAAATCTGCTTCAAAGGCTTGACTGCTGAAGCTTATTGGAGCGCCACCTGGAGAGGCAGTACTGCTGGTGGATGCTGTGTAAAGTTCAGAAGCAGGAGTTTGGACAGAATTTTTTGGGCTCCACGGTAACTGCCTAGGCTGGCTGACACTTTTGACGTTGCCCCCTCGAGGAGTAATCGTAAGCTCAGAATTAGGAGGTAGCAAATTTTGAATTGATTCTGGAGTGCTGCTGCCTGCCAAAGACTGCAGACTGGAGAGACTTTCGGCTGACCGGCCGGATTCTCCTGATTTTTGGGTTGAGCGAATTGCAATAATCTTGCCGTTCTCCAGTTGCATGTAGACTCCCTTCGGACTTTTTAGGACCATCACTCGCTGCCCTGCTTTCAATGAGATGGATCGATCTTGGGCATTTGTTGGTATCACAACATCAATTGGAAGAGTCATCTCTTGAACAGTCATGCCTTGGCGTTGCCAGGTCTCTGCAGGGATCCAACGGGTCCTACTGGCGGGGGGTGGACGAGGAGCTTGCATTGGACGGACAGATGCAACAGGTCGAGTGCCCTGCCTACAAATTAAGCTTTTAGATAATTTAATTTAATTTTATTTTAGGTAATTTTTTAAGAACGCTCTATGCCAAATTACAAGACAATGATTTGGAATTGCGTCTAAATTCATTAAAAAAATCAATGACTACAGACCTAAAAATGAACTACTAAAGATTTGACTTGAAAAATGAAACAAAAAATTTAAAGTTTTTAAATAATTTATTTTTGGCGTGTACACAAAAAAACTAAGGTGGAAATGAAAACAAGTCAAATCATGTTAGTTCAATCACTATCTGACAAAGTGAATATTTCATTGGCATCTGGACGCTTTGCTGTATTACAAACTTGATTAGAGGACTGAATCAACTGATTGTTAGTGCTGGGCAAGTGCCTAAAAGTCCCAAAAGCAGACGCAAAACTTGTCCTAATACTATCCACAAAATCATTTTTCAGAATATCAGGTCGCAAATTAAAGCATTGTCTTGAATCAGCATAAATTGGCGGAGTAGAAGAGAAAATTCTTTGGAATGGCGGAGGTGGTTCTTGCCTGATTGGGAGAGTTGGTGGAGGTGCATTGACGATTCCGCCCCCTGACGTGCTGTACGACCCTTGGTATCCACTGTAGTAGTTGTTGAAGCCTGATTTTGTGCTTGCTTGCTTTTCCAGTTCATAGCTCCGCTTGGCCAGCCGCTTTTCGGCTTGGGAGAGTTTCTTCTCCTTACGATCGACAAGCAAGGATTCGTGTTTAAAAGGTTCCTGAAAGCATATCATGAAACTAATTATATACAAAAGGCATCTGTGCATACCTTGGATAGCAATGAGCTCTTCTGTTCTAACAACATCTGAACGATGCTATCAAGAAACTTTGGTGCATGTTCAGAGAGATCTTTAACTTCTGATTCTGGCTCAGAGTCGTACAACAGGTTGCTGACTTCTTTCATGGACAAATGGGCATCTGGATTCAGCTCATCCACAACACGGTCTGCCATGCCTTGTTTGTTGATTTGCCGATCGTAAATCTTCTTCTCAAGGCAGTTGTCCATAACGAATCGGTAAACAAAACATGGTTTTAGCTGACCATACCTGTTAGCCAATAGTAAAAAATTGGTTGTAAATTAGAAAATAATTAAATATAATTATATTTAACCTGTAAACTCGGCAAACGGCTTGTGTATCGTGGCAAGGATTCCATGAGGCATCAAAGACAATGACGCGGTTAGCACCAACTAAATTAATGCCCAAGCTTCCTGCTCTGGTTGAGACTAGAAACAATGCCAGCTTTGGATTAGAATTGAATTCGTTTATGAGCTTTTCCCTTTCAATAGCAGCGGTGCTTCCATCCAAACCTGTAAACACATATGAAAGTAATTCATTTTTTCATTTATTCTCTCTATTACTAAGCACCAATTACTAATAATAAAAATGCAAGACGAAAAAGACTTACGGAAATAGTGCACATTTTTCGCCCACTTTTCTTCAGTGCCAGGTACAAAATTTTGATGGAGGAAATCTTCAATCAAATTCAAGGTGAAGAGTGACTGACTAAAGAGGAGGATCCTGTCCCCCAGTTTCAGGCTTTCTTCAAGAATGCAGAAAAGGGCTTCCATTTTTGCACTATTCTCAATTTTCCCGGGTTCATATCCTTTAAGAATTTCAGGTGCCTAAAATTTTTAATACAAATTTAAAATGTTTAGAGGATAGAAAAAGAAAAATACTAACCCAATCATAAGGAATAGAAGTCTCGTCTCTTCCAGTCTTTGGCATGTTCGATCCCTGCTCCAATAAACTTTTTAAGTCATCATCTCTCCTGCTCTCAATTTTTTCATCTATTATTTTCTCGATTGAATCAATTTCTTTGTTGTCGAGATTTCCACATTTTTTGTCCATCAGGTCAGCTAGCCTTTCATTTTTTACAGTCCCAGTGTGCTTTGTCTCCAGGCTACTTGGAGGCAGATGGAAAGAGTCGTTGTACTGTCCACCGAAAGGCTCGTATCCTGGCTGCTGCCAAGACTGTTGTTGATTTCCAAAGTTTTGCGATGATGGAAGTGAGCCATAAGGATTCTGCTGACTATTGCAAGCTGTGAATGGGTTTGTAGACTGTGGGTAACATTGCTGTTGCATGCTGTTGAAATAGTTTTGCTGGTATTGCTGGTTAAATTGGTTAGATGATTCCCCGTATCCAAAACCACCATGGCTATAGCTTTCGGAGAACTCCTGGTTATCAAGAGAGACGGCCTGGTCTTGATTGGACATAATTGGCCGAATGATTGCATCTGCCTTAACCTCTTTGCTGCATGAGTTTTCATGTGCCTTTGGAGGTTTCTTTGATCGACTTGCCTGTGTGTTTTAACTCAAAAGCTAGTTTATTCTTTCCAATTTTAAACCATGATTATTACCTTTCCATTTTTGCTGGATGCTGCGGCCGGAACGTTGGATCCTGCATTGCTTGCAAGTACAGGCTCCTCCAAATCCAAATCGTCGCCTTCCATTCTCTTTTTGAGAAAATAGTAAAGGACATCAGGATGATTCCAGATCTACAATTAATTTGAATCAAAATATTCATGAGTCAAGAATAAAAATGCAAACCTTGCAACAAACAGCAAACGCTTTCAACGGATTTGGCACCGTCTTTGTTCTCACAACCTCATTCATGAACGTACTGTAAAGATTGCGTTGGAAGGGAGTCATTCTGAACAGCAATACAAATTCATGTTTTTGTGGAAGCGCTTTTTGCAGCACTTCATGGCTGCGTCTGCTCAGGAAGAAGAATTGAAAAAACAGGTTAAGATTTTAATTAATTTGCAAACCTTTGGACAAATCCATTAAGCAAGGAATGCAACACATGGGCACGATATCTCATTAGTTTCACGTCATTCGGAGTGCTGTCAACACACTGGCCATTTTGAATTGGACGTTCAAACATGTTGCTAAATTCAGTCTTTGTGCCCAAGTAGTTCGGCCGGACAAAGTCAACCATGCACCAGTACTCGAGTAGATTATTTTGCAGAGGATAGCCTGTGAGCACAATTCTCCGCTTTGTCTGAATGCTCTTCAAAGCGTGAGATATTGACGCATGACTGTTTTTTATCCTGTGACCCTCATCACATATGACAAGATCTGGTCCTGGCTTTATTAGAGCATCATGAATTTCTACAATGAAATTTTATTAAGATATTTGAATTTTTCCGATTTTTTATTCTATTTTAATATTACCATTCCAGAGGGCCTTTTTCCTATTATCATCTTCTTCAACTTCAATAACATGGACAAATCTCTTTTTCTTGCTCAGCTTGTCTCTTCGCAGACTCAAGAGACGATATAGTTCATATCCTATCAAAAGGACACCACCCGAGAGGCGCCAATGCCGAATAACCTAGTTTTTGTTTTTAAATCTCTTCTAAACCAAAATATAATTACATACCTTGGCTCTAGCAGTCAAAGTTTTCTGAGAATCGTTGAGAACATGCAAATTGAAGGTTCGTGCACAAACTTCAAGGTCGGAGTTTGATTCCTGATTTGCATCTTTTTCAGGGGGCATCCACATATTGAACTCAGCGACCCAATTTTGAAGTGTGTTTATGGGCATGATGCACAAAATGTGCCTTGCGCTTGTGTGTCTCAAAAATATATCACAGAAGGAAACAACCTGATAAGAAAATTACAATGATTAAAGAATTCAGGAAAACCTTCCACATTTTACCTGAAGAGTTTTTCCGAGACCCATAGAGTGAGCAAGGATGCAACCAAAACCAGAACTTGATTTGTACCTTTCCAGAGATTCAACAACGTTGTCATACATAAATCGAATACCACCAATTTGATGAGGTTTTATGGCCCTAGCAATCTAAAATAATGCATTTTAATTTTAGCAAAATCTAGAATATTACTATAGTGTGGTAATAAAGTTGATTAAGAAAAGTTACCTGAGGTGCCAAAAAGATGTCAGGTTCAGACTCTGGATGGCCCACATTTATAAGTACTCGACCTTGTTCATCAGGAATGTTGAAAACATCATTTGTATGAAGACCGGAATTTGTGGGATCTTCAGGTTCACTCTCTGCCTCCGAGCCGCCAGAAACTATCATACAGTCATCGTCACTACTGCTTATGGTAACCAACTCTGTAAAAAAATTAAATAGCTTTGCATTTGACGTGATTTAACCAATCTATTCACCTTTAGGTTCTGTGATTTCTTTCCTTGGTGCAATTGGTTTTCCAATTATAGTAGTCTCTGAATGTGAAAAAGTTTGATCAGCAGCACTGAACTCTTCGACGCCCATTCTATTATCTGAGTTTTTGACCAGAGAGACAGACGTCTCTGACGATAAAATAAATTATTTGCAAAAACATTTATTCAACAAACTCACCACCTGGAGTAATTCCCAGGTCACTGGAAAGTGAAGGAAGGGAGGCAATATCCAGGTCTCTATTCGCGCCCATTGGTGTAATAGTGCAGTTTCGAAGAATTGATGTGGACTGTCCCAACGATTGCAGCAACGTCTTCTGTTTTTCTTGCATGATTTTGCGCTGCATTTCCTTAAGCATTTTCTGCTGCTCCTGCACCCTCATCAGTCTTTCCATTTCCTGTCTCTGTGCAGCCTTAGTTTCTTCATCAAGCTCATCTTCATTCATCACTTCACGAATGTTCTTTCTCAAATTTTTCACTCGCTTCTTTTTTTCCTTCTTCTCGCCTTCTTCTTCATCACTATCAGAATCATCTTTGTCCTTCTTACTTTCCTTGGTCTTCCGTTTCCTTTTCTTTTTGACGCTTTCCTTTTCCGAGTCGGCTGCTTTCTTTCGCTTCTTGCTTTTTGTCACGACAGGTGTAACCTCCAGTGACTTTGCATCACTACTGCCCTCAACCTCTTGAACTTTTAATTCGCTTTCACATGTTCCACCCTCCACTTTGTCCTCACTTTCCCCCTTTTCAGCCTCTTGTTCATCCTCGGTTTCAACATCACCCTCATCATCAGCATCTTCACTTTCTTCCATCACCGAATCTTCTGGCTCAATTTCATCATCTCCGGCGTCCTCATCCTCGGACTCGTCACTTTCGGCTGCACCTTCTGCATCAGACTCTGAGGCCTCTCTCTTGCCATCCTCGTCAGCATCGTCGCTTGCGTCTTCTTGATCTGGACTATTATTTTGTAAATCTTCACTGCCTACTCCATTGTCCTTTGCTATTTTCTTAATGACGAGTCCAGGGAGATTTGGAAATGGCTCCATCTGAGGAAAAAATTGTGTTTGTCAACAATATTGAGCTTTGTTCCGGTAAAGGAAGAAGCCTTTCAAATGAGCAGTAATGCTTACGTTTGTTTTGATCGATGCAGTGAATAATTAATGCAAACGAGTCATCAAAAACATGACGGCAAGCGCTCCCAATGTTTGCCAAGGGTTCACGAATCCGGCGACTGCCAACTTTCCGCCCGACTCTACTCAAATTCTGGCTTCCCAGTTCATCCTTTGCTCCAGACGAAACTACACTACCGACTCGGGAAGTTGGATAGCTCAAGTAAAGAATTTTTCGATCGGAAGTCGCAAAGTCTTCAACGGGAATTTTAATCGTAGAATTCGATCTGTCAGAAAAATAAATTATTTATCCACCATTATTTCTCCCTCTCGTAACAATTCGCTAGTGGTCGCCAGGTCCGTCGCAAGTCGCTGCATTTACGGCCAATAAAAAAACTGCGATTTTGTAAGGGGGAATTCAAATACCGGCGCGTACTTCCCATGGCCGGTAGCGAGTCGCAAATATTCTGTAAAAATAACAAATAACGTCGCACACAATTCAGCTCTGCATTTTTTTTTTTATTTTTCGAAAGAAATTGTCCATGTTTTATTAATTTTTTTCTTTGAAAATAATAAACATAAAAATAACGCTGAGCTTTCAAAAGAAATGGTAAAACGGGTAAAACTATAGTCACAGGACAAAACTACAGTGGTGGATTGGTGGTGCCGTTTTATATTTCCTAGTGGAGGTGCCAGGTGCTTTTATAAAAAATTCCCCTTTTTTTGATAAATCGTTTCCAACAATTGAGTCTAAAAAAAAAATATATTTCTTGTAACTTTGTGGAAAAATAAACAACAATAATAACTATATTAACTTTTTTGTTAAGATTTTTTTTGCCGCTTTAGGAAGTAAAAAATTCAATAAAAATATTTTTCCTTACCGCATCTTATATATATTTATATATATACAAAATATTCATAACACTTGATGGTAATTTTTTCAGATTTCCGCTCTTTTTTTTATCGTGATTTTTATTATTTTTACTATCAATCTACAAAATTATGTATTTTAAATTTTTAAGGAAGGACAAAAATTCAATATCTTTATTGTTCAATGTGATTCTCCATAATTTTATTAATATTTTCTCTGGAAAATAAAAATTAATTATAAATTACGATAAATTAGTTATATCAACTCTTCTTTATGATTGAAGCGAACAAGAGATGAAAATAAAATAAGAAAAGATGCGAATACATGTATCAAGTTGACCGCTCCAAGGTTATTTAATTGTGTTTTGACTTTTTGTAAAGTGTTGAAACGCGATAACACACATCCGCTGAATAAAAAATTTGGTATTTTTTAAAAGAGTGAGGTCGCAGAGACTCGCAGCGCCATGATAAATCAAAAACTCGTGACGCCGCGCGCTTACTTTGGCTCGGTCATTGGAAGAGCAGAGAGCAGCTTTGGACCAAAAAGCATAAAGCATACACTTTTAGCTCGACACCTTATAGTGTAAAATTCGGTGCAAATTTATGTAAGTATTTAACGGTATTTAATTAGATTTTTATACACACTAAATTTTTTTTTAAATGAAAAATCATGCTTCATACTTATAATAAATTTAATATTATTTTGTTATGCACACGCCATAATGACACTTGTACTTGTAGTACTTACTATAATATAAAAAATAACTGCACTTTATTGTTTATTTTTACTGTTCACGCTAAAGCGTTATTATTACAATTTTTTTGCTCCTCCGCCTATATACATCCCTGCCTTGGGCTGCCTCCTTCCTCCTCGTATCGCTCTCCCCCGAGTCCCCTGGCATGTTATTTCATACCTCAGCTGTTCTGTCTGTATCTGTACCCAAAACCGGCTCGGATCATTGCGCTCAGAGTACGACAGGTTTTAAAACAGTAATATCAACATATTTTAGCACGTTTGGTGGCCTTGCAAGTAAGCTGTGCTGATAAGCAATTTTATCGGCATTACGGGAGAGTGTCAAGCTCAAGAAAAAAAAATTACTTTCCCTAATTAAATTCCTTTTGCACACGGCGGTCCTGCAATTTCGCCAAGCATTTCGCTTTTTATTATTTGATTCATTAGTCCACAGATTAAACCGCTGCAGACACAATCCAGTGAAGATGGCAGAGTACGGATTTCTGAAGCAGGAGCCAGGTTATGCGACCAAAGCGATACACGAGGGTCAAGAGCCAAGCCAGTGGAATTCAAGAGCAATTGTTCCACCAATTTCGTTGGCCACTACTTTTGAGCAGGATGCTCCTGCCAAGCACCGGGTATGAAATTACGATCAAATTCTATGTCACGTGAGGGTGAGGCTATAATACATAGAATAATAGGAAAGCATTCAAGCTTAATTTCAATAAATTATAATAATTTATAGTTAATTATTTTAGCTTCGCCTCTTAAAATGTGTTTTAATTATTTTAACGTCTCTGCGTTAAAGATAAATAAATTCAATTTAACATTTTACTCAATATATGCTATATAATTTTTTTATAGGGGTTCGAATATAGTCGCAGTGGAAACCCATCCCGAAACGTACTTGAAAAGTGCGTCGCTGCACTTGATGGTGCGAAATATGGTACGTCCAAGCCTGAACGCCAAATTAAATGGAGTTACTGGCACATTTTTCTATAAATATTTTTAAATTTTTATAATATATTATGTTACCTTCATTTATTTCCCTCAGGACTGTGTTTTTCGTCCGGTTTAGGAGCCACGACTGGCCTTGTGCACCTCTTGAGCCAAGGTGATCATTTGCTCTCTGTTGATGACGTCTATGGAGGAACAGGTCGCTACTTCCGCCAGTGCGCTACCAGGTTTGGAATCGAAGTTGATTTTGTGGATGCCACGAAAGTAGAGCTTTTTGAGAATGCTATCAAGCCTAACACAAAGGTAAAAATAAATAATAAATCTGGCAGAAAATATTCAGATCAGAGAATTGACTGATCGTTTTAGATGGTGTGGATTGAATCTCCAACCAATCCATTGCTGAAAGTGATTGACATCAAGGCTATTGCCAAAATTTGCAAGCAAAAGCCTGACATCATCCTTGTCGTTGACAACACCTTCCTGACGTCTTACTTCCAGGTATTAAACTGACTTAATTTAAAAAAAAATCACTTCCTAATTAAATCAGCGCCCTCTGAGTCTCGGAGCTGATGCAGTCGTTTATTCCATGACCAAGTACATGAACGGACATGCTGACGTTATCATGGGTGCTGTGACAACCAGCAATGATCAACTGCATGAACGACTCCGCTTTCTTCAAAACGGTACAAATATCGCAGCCAATAAGAGCAAAATGGGATCGTAATTTCATCTCTAAAACTAAATAATATTTTAGCTGCCGGCATCGTCCCATCACCATTTGATTGTTACCTGGTCAATCGCAGTTTGAAGACTTTGGAAATTCGCATGCGCCAGCACATGACAAATGGACTTGCTGTGGCCCAGGCTCTTGAGGCTCATCCTCTAGTGGAAAAGGTTTTGCACCCGGGTCTTCCAAGCCACCCCCAGCATGATATTGCAAAGAAGCAATCCTATGGACACAGCGCTATTTTCTCATTCTACATCAAGGGTGGCCTTCAGCATTCCGAAGCCTTCCTGAAGGCTCTGAAGTTGTTCTATTTGGCAGAGAGCTTGGGAGGGTTTGAGAGTCTCGCTGAGCTTCCGTAAGTAGAGTTCTTGATGAAGGCTGCATTGTTAAATAAATTTAATTCTAGGTGTGTGATGACACATGCGTCGGTCCCTGCAGAGGCTAGAAAGGAGCTTGGAATTTCCGACACTTTGATTCGCCTCTCTGTAGGTCTCGAAAATCCAGAGGACCTGGTCGCAGACATTAAGCAAGCACTGGATGTTGTGGTAGGGATAATTATAAATAATTCAGGCTTATTCATTAATATTTGTGTATTATCATTTCAGGCTGAAATCAAGTAATCCTGGAGTCCATTAATCAATTTTCAAAGTTTTTACAAATAAATCAAATCTAACCAATTCACAGTGTCAATATCATTGGATAAATAAATTAATACTTTGCTATCGAAGGTTATATGGAGCTAAAAGAGCTCCGTTTTTGGTTTTGTGTTGCGTTCGCACAAGTCTATAATGCCCGAGATGAGAGCTGATCTCTGATCTATTGATAGAGCTGGATGGCATCGGTCAATGTGCAAGCGAGCACTCTCTACCACCTAGATAACAAAATGAAAAAGAGGCGAATTATAAAATCAAATACATATTTAGACATACTTTCTCAAGGTACGAAACTGAAGAATTGGGAAACACCTCCTCGTCAAATGGCACAATTGCACTACCTTGATCATGGTCCATTTGTAAAAACACGTCTTCAATTCTACCTAGGAGACTTTCGCTGTAACTCTGACTAGGTGAAACTTGGACGGGAAACTGGTATGGTTTTGTTTCTCCGCCTTCATCCTGCATGATTAGACATCTAGAGAAGAATTTATTTATTGGGAAAAATTGATTATCAAAATATCACTTGTAATTAGAGGCTAAGGTTTTGTTAGCACTGTAATAAGGTGCAACAATGATGCCAATGAATGGTGCTTCTGTCTTCTCAAACCAATTCTGGACCCTTACTTGGGTTTCCATATCTTGAACCGACGGATTGGGCAAAAATGTAGGGTGCGAGTGGTACCATCCGACCACCTCTAGTCCTGCATACTGAATAGTTTCACTTGCCTCTGTTTGTGAAACTGAAATGTAGTTAAAAAATATTGAAAGTTAGTTAACAATTAAAAAACAAAAAAAGGAAAAAAATTACTTGGGCACATATCACATTGCACACCGGTACTTTGACTTTTGCAAGCAACAGCCCTGGAAATGTGCAGTTTCTTTGTTCTTGCATCAAAACATCCACCTAGGAGCCCAATAACTTCAGATTTGCTAGAGTGCGAGTGGACGTCCATTAACAAAAGCGCACCAATATCCAATATTACAGAAAATGGAGCCTAAGAAATGAAAATTAATTATTAATAAATCTGTAGACTTTAAAATATTAAATATTTACCTTATGTATATCCGAAAATTTATGACAATAAACAAGTCTATGGTGCTCGTTTTGGGATGATTTCTTGCTTTTACTGGTTTTTGGTGATTGCTCTCTGTAAACTTTTGTCAATATTGCACTTCCATGTTCATCGTGGGTAATAGTGTATCCTCCTTCACCATCAGAATCCTTAAAGCATTTAAATTAGTGAAAAAATTATGCAAATTAATATAATTTATTGGTACCAGCTGCTCTGTACGCTTCTTCCTTGGTCGACCACCATCAGACCTGAGACTCAAGGGTTTTGACTCCAGTCGAATTTTGGAGACACTTACAGATTTTTTGGTGCCTGTAGGTATCACAATTGGCTTGTAGAGGACTTGCTCTGCAAGATAAAAACTTAAAGTTATTGCGAAGATGTATAAAATTTGATTTCTTACCGCAGCCAAAATTTATGACACCTATTTGTTCCAGGTAAGCATGAATTCTGCCAATTGCATTTACATCACCACAATTTTTAAGTCCATTCCTAGTCTGAGTTTTACTAACATAGTTAGGCTTGCACTCTTTCCACATATCAATTATGTGGTTTCGTATCTATCGTTAAAATATTATTTAATTTAAAGCTTGAAAAAAGTAAATTTTTCTTTACCTTCAGGTATCGTGACGGTGTTTTCGTCGGTCTGCCGGTGAAAAACTCAAAGTGAACATCTTTTTCTTGATCAGTGACGATTTCTGGATCCAGGGAGACTTCTTGTAATGGCAGTGGGAAGGTAAAAATTTTTTCCTTTCCAACTTTTTCCTCCTCTAATTCTGCAAATGCCACTTCCTCCACTTTGCAATCAACTTCAGGTTGTAAAACTTTATTGCTGACAACAGCTTCTGGTTCACTTTCTTCTTTCAAGATCAGCTTTTTCACGTCACAAGTGTTGTCACCATCATCAATATCAATTTCACTATCGTCAGAATCATCAGACGCCTTTTGAATCCTAACCAATTCCTCGCCCTCTGATACAAATATAACAGGTCCAGTATGTTTGTTTTCCTCAAAACTAGCATCAAAGGTTTCAAGTGCCTCCACAACTTCCCTGTCAACATCTTGACTGACTTCGTCCAATTTCAATTTTGGTAGGTCTAGCTCTTCCACTGCACTAATAGTCTCAAACTTTTTAGACCTATCTATTGACTTAGGCGGTCTCGTTTTCTCTCGAGTCAATTTTTGCTTTGCCGCTGAAGCTTTTGGCGTTTCATTTATTAATAGACGCTTTTTCTTTTTTGGCGGACTTGCGGATGTATCTAAAAACAATCATGTCAATGTTAAGACCTAAAAAAACGCTGTGAAATTATCAAAACCTAATACTGTTGGTTGAGCAGTGGTGACAACTGAGATGACTTCTTCTATGGAGGCTGGGATAGCCATGTCATCATAAATTTCAGTGTAGTTAAAGCTTGCCGTTTGCTTTTGCTCCACATTAACTTCAGAGATTGTCGGGGGAGCTGCTTGAATGGCTTCTTCTTCATGCTCAGATGACTCAGATATTCTCGAAGTGCTGCTGATTCCCATAAGAGACGCTTGAGACTTGGACTGAAGAGGAGTTTTAGTTCCAACAAACTGAGAAACTCGTGTCCAACTCCGACCAAATAATTCCTACACAATAATCAAAGTTTGATCATTGAACTTTAAATGTAATTAATTTTATGCCTCACAATTCCTTTTTCTAACAAGCTTTTCTCTCTCTCAGTCCAGCTGTCACTTTCTTCCCAAGGACTGGAAAGACTCGATCTTTCTTCTACAGCAGCCGGTGAGCTTCGCTGACGATCCTCTAAGGTTGGTGACAACCAGCAATGTTGAGATGACTCCAAGAGCCAGGATGGATTCATGCAGTCATGCAATAGTTGATCTGCACTCTGCGTACCAAGTACACTGCCATCGTAGCAAGAACTTCTGCAAATAAAAAAAAAATTGTTATGCCAGCTACACATACACATACATATATGTACGGAGGAAAAATAATTTTATTCTTGTTTAGGCGAAGTCAATAAATATGCTACTACTACAAATTTTCCCAAAAATCGTACATATTAGAGCCTTAATTTAAAATATAGTAACCAAGTAGGAATAAAACAGAGATAAAAATTCTGATTTCATCTTAAATTTGAAGAAAAAATAAATCAAAACATTGGAAAACTGCAAGACTGCTTCCGGCAGAAATATTTAATTCTTGATTTCTAAGCGATATAAGCTAGGAATGAATTGGAATTATTATACAGAATTTTAAATATTACATGCAATTTAATAAATTACTAATTTTGAATTACATTCTGCTGTCTTCTTTCGGAAAAAGGTTGTCAAAAGCGAAATCGCCCAGAATGTCAACTTCGTCCTCGTCCGCCATGTTTGCCTTTTTAGAGGCGGAATAATGCATATTTAAATGAAAAACGCGCCAAGAACACGTGAGCAGCAAAAACTTTGAGGGAACATACCATGCGAATATTTTTTTTTTTTATTAAGAAAGCGCTATCGTAATTTTAATAACAACTCTTAATTAAATTACATCGAAAATTTAGTTTTACTATTATTGTTTCTGATTGTTTCAATAACTGAAACTGTTTCTCCTTTTTGAAAAAATTTTCCTAATGTATAATGCGGCCTTCGGTTTATGTGGATGGGCTATACATATACATGACTAAAATTGCAAATTTTAAGTGATTTAAGATTTAGGTACGCCTAAGAAGTAAATTATGCTAGATGCTTTTGAAGGAGCAAAAATATTTATTTTTAATTTATTTACAGTACTTAAATCACACAAATGCAGCTTTGAGCGCTTGATCAATATCTTTAGTGATATCCTCTGCCTCTTCAATGCCAACAGAGAGACGAATCAAATTATCTGTGATACCAATCTCCAACCTTTCTTCTTTAGAGAGATATTTGTGAGAGAGCAGGGCACTAGAATAAGCATGGTTTTTATGGTTTTTATGCCATTTCCATAAAACTGTTTAAAAAACCTACGGGGATTCTGCCAGACTATCACAACCTCCAAGACTACCAGCATACACAATCATTTTTAGAGCCTTCAAAAATTTTGACACCTCTTGCATTCCGGCGCCTGATTAAATTATTTCTTTTATTTATTTTTCAATTAAAAAATTATAACTACCTTTAATTTTGAAAGCTAGCATTCCACAATATCCAGAACATTGCTTTTTTAGCACTTCATGACCAGGGTGATCAGGAAAACCTATTTATTTCTTATTATAAAAAAACCTGATTTTGTAATTTTAAATACCAGGGTGCAGTACTTCCTCAACTAGGGAATGTTTCTTCAAGTACTGGGCCACCTCAATGCCATTTTTCATGTGCTGCTTCATTCGCAAAGCCAATGTCTTTAGGCCTCTCAAAGCTAAATAACAATCAAAGGGCCCAGGAACAGCCCCACCATCTGTCCAAAAAAACTCATAAATTTTATGCATTTTTACATCATTAATTGAACTAACGCTGCTGAATGTCTCTCAGCCTAGCGTGAACATCATCGTCATTTAAGACTAAGGCTCCCATAATAACGTCACTGTGTCCATTCATATACTTGGTCATGGAGTACATGACAATGTCTATCCCCAAGGCTAATGGTTTCTATAATAAATTTTACTTATTAAAATTACAATTAAAATGTATTATTTGTATTCCTTGCCGAGAAGTAGGAGGTCAGGAAAGTATTGTCCATGACAACTAGTACTCCGGGCTGCTTATGGCTTATTGCTGCCACCTTCCGCACATCCACAACTTTGCACAAGGGGTTTGTGGGCGACTCAATCCACACCATCTGCATTTTTTCAAATCTTAAAAACTAGATCAATTTAAATAATTGTTAAATAATATACCTTAGTTGTTGGCTTGAACATTTTTTCAAAACTGGACAGATTGTTGACATCAAAAAATTCCAAATCGACACCTTTTTCTTGTGCCACCATATCCACTAGATGGTGAGTTCCCCCGTAAATATCAGCAGCGCACAAAATGTGATCTCCCGACTTCAAAATAGTCAGCGCCGACCACGTTGCGGCACAGCCAGTCGCAAAAACGAGGGCTTTAATTTTGTTATTAAAAAATAAAATTACTTTTAAATCAATATTTTACCATGTTTTCCCTTGTCCAGGGCAGCAAGGCAACCCTCAAGATTATTACGGGTTGGGTTTCCCCAGCGGCCGTACTGAAATCCCGTACTATAGTCAGCGCTTTGGAGCTTGTAGGTGGATGCGGTGACAATTGGTGTGATCACGGCACCTGAATTCCACTGGTCAGGAGACTGGTGCGCGTGAATTGCCAAGGTGGCAAAACCAGATTCCAATGGCAAATAACCCTCGTTGGACATTATGAAGCGTAAAAAAACGAGAGCTTTTAAACGTCGGAGACAAAACAGGCGATTATTATTTGATATTGGTTTGACCCTTCTTTTATACTGAAAAGTCATTCATTGCCCTTGAGTGACAGAGATAAGATATTACTCAATTTAGCACAGCTTGGTTTTTACAGAATGAGATAGAAAAAAAACATATTAAGAGGTTTTATAATCTAAAAATAATGAGAATGATAAGGCACATAAATCGAAAGATGAAGATTGCTAAAGAAATTGTATAAATACTTATTTATAGGAACCGTTTAATAAGTCCTGCTGAAAAAATGTTGTTAAATAAAAAGCACAAGTTTTTAGAGACCACCCAAAAATACAGCGGATATATTACGGAGCAAATGGTTCCAGCATGCTGCGGGTTCGGCGCGCATCATCCCACTTGCTATAAAATTTTTTTGAATAATTTTGTTTTGCGTTTTGAAAACAAACATTGGTGCTGTTTTCCTAAATCAAAAATGTAGTATATTGAAGTCCTCTAGGTCCGCTGTGTTCTTCAGAGGCCGGATTATGAATATTCTTATGGCCAAAGTTATTTTCTTTGTTCTATTTTCGTGCATGAGTGATGTTAGGTGAAACCTAAGAACCTTGTTGGTAAGTAACACACTCTCTTACAAAGTGCTTTTAACACCCTGGCAATATCTCATTTTATACGTCTGAGCTGTAAAATTCCACGGTATTATTTGTTTTTACAGCAAAGGGCGGAATATTTTCTATTCAATTTATGACGGGTCTCAAAACTCGGATTTCATATCTCAAACCGAACACGTGTTCGGAGCCGCGCGCGTAAGGGCGGCATGCGAAATTAAACCCATCTAGGCGACGGAGGCTGGCAACGTGACCCAGGTCGTCATATTTTGCTAGTGGTCATCTGCAGATCGCCTTTCAAATTCAATCAGTAATGCAATCGACACTCTCATATATCGGATGGAGTGTGTTGAGGACGCACGAGGGCCCTAAGCAGGCAGATGTATTTTCAGCTACCGAGTCAGGGGTTGTCGTTGATCTTGGTACGATTTTAAATCAATCTGAGTCTCGGGTTTCCGAGAGGAGGAAAAGAATGTGATTTAAGACATTTGCTCATCTGAACGCGTTGTGACAGACAGATCACACCCGGTGAAAAGGCGCAAGGAACCCATTTGAAACTCTAATACTTGGGACGCAACTTTTGGCCAACCGCGAGGTGCATTAAGAAAAGCCACAAATAAATTGGTTTCATGTTTTCTCTTTAAATAATTACAAATTTTAGCTTCAGGCTAAGAAGAGAATTAATTTTAAAGAACAGTGATTAAAAATATATGATGCAAAGTTAAAATTAAATTATTATTTATAAAATATATATTAATTAACTTTCTCAAAAAGAGGGAATAGAAAATATATTTTTAGAAAAGAATGAATAATTAATTCTCAAATAACGAGGGCTATAATATATTGTTTTCTTGGAGAATACGCGCTCTCTTTATTCATGTTTAGTTGCTGTGTAGCCTCCTGCTACACGCCGTCTTCATCATCAGCAGCCTAGCAGAAAAGTCACATGAGATTTTTACGTTTGACAGAGACAAATTAATAAATCTGCCGCGGCTGTATTGTGTTTCTAAACTTGTAACTGTTTTGTGTGCTGTTTTCATTAATAACACGGTGCTAGACATGACATGCATACATCAATCTTTTTGAAGTGGCAGTCAACGCTGATTATTAGGATACGAATAAGCGCGCGCCCACAACTTCTTTTTGAGCAGCTTCTTTGGGTTGCATCTCACTTCGCGCAGGGTGTCACTCATTCAGAAATCATCATCATCATGAGTGGTGAAATATGAAATATTTATGTGCACCCCCATATCAAAGAAGGCACTTTATTTTTGGATTGTGCAGTGCTGTATGGGGCACGTTTACTAAGTTAATTAAGAACTTTTACCTAGTATTTTTGTCAGGGTAAAAATGAAACATGAATTAAAAAAGATAAAAATTAACACTAAAACAATGTCTTTGTTAGAAACTTGCTATAGTGAGGTACAGATACAAATGTTATTAGCAAAATAGAATAATTATTAAAAGAAGATGTTTTTTATTATTTGAATTGAATTGATATTAAATATTTTTATTTCAATCAGTATCAATTATTTTCATAAAATTGTATCTAAAACTCACTTTTAATTTATTTTACTACAAACATCACACTGCTATACACCTGCTATACACTTTAGAATATAATTGAGATTAATTTAAAAAAAATTTGCATGTTTCCTCTGCAAAGAATGCTTTTAAATTCTGCTTTAAATGAATAACTTGAAAGTTTAATCGCAAATAAATCATGCAGAAAATTTGCTATTTAGTGCTTAGCTAATACTAACAATAAAAGAAAAGTTAAAGCGCAGCAATAAGTTCGGAGGAGGAGCTTGGCGGAGGGCGTAAGATGAGGGATGTTCTATTTGATGGACCAGAGACTTATTGTTAGTTCAGCACTTCTCAGTGTTTCGGTTTCCACAGTGCTACACACACTGCATTTGTAAACATCAAAGTAAAAAATGTTTTCATCAAACCGTGGTACAATTGAATCTTCAATACTGTAAGTAAAAGAGTTAATCGTTAAAGAAAAGAAATGTCTCTGTTATTTTCTGCAATTTCAAAAAAAAAAATTTGCAAAGTACTGATCCTTGAACAAAAAGGTAATTTATAAAGCTAATTAATTGTTTTTAAGTTTTTTTTATAATATCTGCTGTTTTTTAAAGCGTTATAAGCAGGTAAAAAGTCTTTCATCCGATATTTTTTATTATTTTGAAAACATTTTTTTTTCTAATTTGTGATTTTTTTTAACAGATTACTGATTGGAAGATTATTTTAATTAATTTTATCATGAAAGATGAATATCCCAAAAATCTATTTTATTATAAATTTAAAATTGTTTAAAAGTAAACAAGTTTTTTGCCGATTTTAAATTCAAATCACCATGAATCCACCCTCGATCGTGAAATTCTACCACAAAAAAAGTTTTTTTGCTTAAATTATTTGGAAGAAAATATTTACTGTTTTAATAAAAATTCTTCAATAGGCCAACTCAAGATATTTGCGAGGTGACAAATAAGCAACCAAATAGGATTGGAGTTCTGCGAACTCCAAAGTGTGCGCGATGCAGGAACCACGGAGTGATTTCTGGGCTCAAAGGCCACAAGAGACTATGCAGGTGGAGAGAATGCAGGTGCGCGAGTTGCCTTTTGGTTGTTGAGCGCCAACGAGTTATGGCTGCACAAGTTGCTCTCCGAAGGTAAAAAAAGGAATTAGTATTTTTTTTTCAAATTTGGAATTTCTTTAAAAATTTTAACTTCAGGCAGCAAACTAGTGAAGAAAATAGCAGTAGACCAGGAGCAAAGTCTGTCGAAGCTCTTTTAGCACAGAAACGAAGCTGCCAGGCCAGACTAAGATCCCTGCAGAGATCCTCAAGTTTGGCCAAGGAACTGCTCATTCAGTCATCAGGTGAACGAGAATTTTAATTTTAGTATAATTTAGTATTGAAAAATAAAATAAAAAATTAGATCTACTTTGTGATGCTCAAATTAAATAATTAATATTTTTAGTATAAACCTATTATACAATCATGGAATATTCCATTTTTCCTGCCGCCGCTCCTATAATAAAATTTCGTTAATTTGCGCAAGATATAAAAAATCTGTATCATATTAATAAAAAAACTAGCAATAAGCAAAGCGATTGCAACGGTAGTAAAAAAGCTCACATGTGGTCGTAGAACTTCCTGTTGACTCTTTGTATGGTGCAAAATTCTTAGCGCGACAAAACTGGACAAAAAACAAGCGCGTGAATTGAAACACTTGTAGCAAGTCAAAAATTGTATGATGCAATACTGCAGCAGATTGCAAAGACATTTAACACTTTTAATTTGTGTAATTTAAGGGTGAAGAATTTTTTATTTAATTTTTTAATTATTTTTTAAAGAACAATGTTTAAACTAAACCAAAAATTAATTGCCAGGCTGCATTATAGTAATACATCCGCCTTGGAAAGAACTAATGGCTATTTTTTTACAAGCATGCACTCTTTTAATCCTTGGATATATTTAATGGATTCTCCAGATTAATCAGGTTTACTTTTAGGGTTTACATTTGGCAAAATTAAAGAATCTAAAAAATTACCAAGGCAAAAAGCCCCTGTAAAAATGAGAAAGTCACAACATACTATCAATTCTAAATGGGAATTTTTAAAAGTGGCATAATCGATAATCGCGTGATACTCTTAACAATCACGATTGATAATTGATCACCTCATGAAGATATCACAGAGATAATAATGATAGATGCATAATTATAGAACACGTGCAAATATTATAATTATTAAAAAACTAGTTTTAATATTATTGCATTTAAAAATTTATTACAGAAGAAACGTATTCATTTACAATTTGTGGCATTTTTTCTTAAATTTCCTTTTATAAAATCCAGCAATATATAGTTATAAAAATTTAAAAATAATATTTTAGAATATTTAAAAATATTTTAAAATGAGTATTCTTTTGTAAAGTAATCAAACTTAGATTTCAAAATTTTTATTTAAAACAAAAAAAAAATTATTTTGTATGCACTTACTTTTTTTTTTTAAAAGCTTTTTAAGAAAATGCATGATGTGTATTTTTTCTAAATCAAATTTTGTTAGTAGTTTTCATTAATAATTTTTGAATATTTGGACGATGTGTCTCGTTATAGGCAGAGATTGCCTTGTGGTGCACAATAAACTTAATTTGCCACTATTTTAAATAAGAAAATTAATATCTGTGTTGCAGCCTCAAACAGCCTTTCACAGCAGGCATCATTCTTCCCAATATCTCCAGGTCAAAACTTCTTGAGTGACCGAGCGCGGAAGAGACGCGCCTTTGCAGACAGGGAGCTCGAGTCGGTGGTTTCGCCAACCCTTTTTCTTCCGCCTCCAACTCTCCGCCACGAAATGACCACGGCAAGCTTTTTCACGGCAGCAGCTCTTTTTTGGGCTTCAACAACCTCTGCCCCAGTGACCGCTCCAATGGTTCGGTCTGCACCCGCAGAAGTCACTAAACCTAAACTTTCCTTCTCTGTGGAATCAATAATTGGCATAAAATGAGCTGGACGAAATAAAAAAGTTTAGCTTATTTGAATGTCTTCATGTTAAAAGTCAATATTGTGAGCTGTCTTTTTAATTGGTTTTGTAAAAAATGTGAACGCACTTTTGACAATTCCTTTGTTCTCTTTTGAGTAGAGATATTTTACGTCATTATCCGAATAATTATCAAATATGCACACAGAGAACTCTAATCTATTTTTGATTTATTCATTTAGCTGTCATTATTATTTATATGTCTCTGTCAGAATGAGTGTTAGGAGTTGCCTGCTAAAGCGCCTAAAATTAGAAGAGATGTGGCAGCTCCGGTTTTGTTTTATATGAATGCGCATTTTCCCAGCAAAATAATAAGTGTAAGGACGCTCCAAATGTACAATGTTCCAGAAAGCTACAAAACTCCTACCTGGATCAATGCGCGCTTGATATATTAAATTTAATATAACCTAATCCCTTACCCACCCTTACCTTGATGTTAAATGATTGTTGCTGCATATTTTTGTCTTGCGTTAGCCGTCTTTTATTGCGCTTGCATAAGCGAAAGCTATGACTTTGATTTTCTTTAATAGTGGTTTTATATATAAATAAAATTTATTGTCACCAGTGTCACCAACACCTTAATTATGGTATTAAATATCTCTTCACTAACATAATAAATGATATTCATGGCATCCAAATTATTGCCAAATGAAAGTTATGAGATGAAAATCGATAAAATATGATTTTATTAATTAAGTATGAAATCTTTTGGTATGAGTGTAAAAGTATTTTCATTGATCTTGCTTTTTCTAAATAGCTATAAAATCTGTACACATGTTGTATTTAAAACAATTTTATTTCCATTGTTGGTTTTGTGTAATTAATAATTAATAAAAAGTCTTAAAATGTCAAAATACACAAAAAATTTCTGTGTTTTCATTATCAATACCGATCAATACTATTTCTATTTCAAGAAGCTGCCAGTTAATAAAAAAATTACAAAAGTATTTTTAATTAAAGATAAGTGAGACCTGGTAAAAACTATTAAATAAAAGAATAATTTTAACAGATTCAGTAAAAAAGGTTCTTAAATATGCAAATATTTATATACTTTATGTGTAGTATATACAATGCATAACTGATTTTTGTAAGAAAATAAATATAATATATGAACCTTCCAGACATTATCTGCATTTTGTTGCAGATACTTTACTTAATATCAGTTAATATTATGGTATATTTTAGTATTGAGAAAATTTTGCAATAAAGAAGACGATTCAAGGAAATAAATTTATTTCCTTAAAAATTATTTCTTCTTGTTTGAGGGGTTTATTTGCTAGTGTACTCACCAAATGATGCGTTTCCTATTTTGGCTATTGCAGAGCTAAACACGTCAAATCCGGCCGAATCGTGAAATCATTTATACAAATTTCCGCTCTCACGACTCCGCAGGGAGAATTACTGCCACACATACGTCAATGCTCAAGCGAAGCGTCATCCTGATGAAGAAAAGAAAAAAATGTTAGTTATAAATTTAAAATTAATTACTATAGTAATGTATTTATCACATTATCACCAGCCATTATCATAAAAAAGTGTAAATAATAAAAACGTTACCAACAGGGATTTAAGCAAAGAATTAAGAATATTATATAATAAAATGCAAAATGTGTATGACATAAATTTGAGATAATTTTTTTATTATGAAATTCAGATGAAATTAAAAAATTTACGTCATTTTATTCATACGCAATTTTGATTCATATGTGACAAAAAGTAACACGTTTGCATATTTTGCATGCATCGTCATTGAGAAAATGATAAGAACCGAGAATAAAACAAAAATAATTAACACACTTTTGGAGGTTTTGATGTAAAATCAGGATTCAGGATCACACAAGTCCTGCGAATGCGAAGTGCGAGTCTGCGAGATTGTTTAGCCCGGTTTACGCTTGCTCGATTCTTACATCTTTTTGCAAGTCTTCACGTAATCACGATCGAGAGCTCAAATGCAACAAGTTCCAGATTTACTTTCACTCTCCATTCACGAGATGTCGCACCAATCCGTGTTGGGCTCGCTCGACGAAACGGCGGCAGCTGCAGCTCTTCACTGTTCCGTTTCCCCCCTTGATCGGTCGCGAACGCGAGGAAGGACCGCGGGCGGCGAGTTGTTTTGCCTCCCCTGCGAGTGTGTAAAAGGCAGCAGCACGTCAGTCACGCTACTCTTGTTTATGTTGTCGTTTCGCGCTCGCTGAAAGCCAAATTTCAGCAATTTCCACGATGGACGAATCGGCCGAAGAGGTGCCCAAATCGCCCATGAAAAGGCTCGGCTCGACGAGGAAACTCATCTTCTACAACAGTAAGTGCAAAGCAGTTCAATTTGATTTTTCGCAATGCGATAATACCCGATTCGCCGGGACGAATTCAAACTCAAAACTCGAACCCAGCCGATGCTCCTGCATCGTGCGTGCAACAATAATTGCCGCTGCGTGTTTTGCTGCTGTGAATTTTATAAACTGCGAGCTCCCTACGTATTTAATTTATGCGGGTTGAATAATTAATTAATTTTAAGAAAAATCACAAATTAGGATAATGAAAATGTATTTTATTTTTCAATGAAACAAGTATCAAAATATTCAAAATAGTAATTAGATATGTATTAAATTGAATTTCGCCCAAATTTAAATTGACATATAGTCGATTAAATTTTTTTAGAAGTTATCAAATCTCTTTAATAAATTTGAACAGAAAATAAAAATTTTAATACAAATTCATAGGAGATAATTTTTTTAAAGATTTGAAGTGACATCTTTAAATTTTGTTAGTGATTTTGGAATTTAAAAAACTTTAATTTAAAATAAATCATGGCTAAATAAAAAAAAATAATTAAACATATCTGAAATAATTAATTTGTAAAGAGATTTGAATGCCAGAGCTATATTTAAGGATACATGAAGAACCATTTTATTCATATTGCGTCGCAATAATTAGATATTTCATTTGGTTTTGTTACGAATTTCGCGCCTTTGCTCTGTTTTTGTCTGTGTTAATTATCTCATGGTTACTTGCAAGAGAGAGTGGCGTTTCCTTCTGCTTTATTGATAACCGGCCTGTTTCCTCGTAAAAAGTTTACTTATTTTTTTAGCGGCCACTGGAGTGTGTGACAACCGATAAGAAGTTCTATAAAATTCGCCTGGGAAAACTCGACGGCGAAACAAAAAATTCAGAAGCAAGTTGATGGAATGAAAAATCGGGTTCGGAAGCTTTTGAGCGCCTGGCGTAGAATTAATGAACGCGCCGGTTGTTGAAACGTATTAGGAGGGTTTGAGTGAACCGCCCGTTAAAATAGATAACGCACATGTACACACACGCATACAAATTTCCCCCATGTTCTTGGGCCAAAATTACACTCGAAGAACCCCTGCTAATTTTTTCCCGTCTCGCCGTAATCATCGCCGCCCTGCTGCTCTCATTCAATTTCCCCTTGCGTTTTGAGAGCAGTTGGGACCCCTCCTCGTTGGTACTTTACTTATCATCAGCATAGTGATCTATGCAATAACCCTATACTTTACTTCTTTTATTTAACAAATTTACATAAAATACATTAGTTGAAAAAATGGCACTCAAATTTTGCGTTTTTTTTTTAAATCTGGACTATAACGTTTTGTTTCTTATTTTGATCGGGTTGAAATTTTTATAAATTTTTAAATTATTTTACTTTCTCCGATTGATTTTTGCAATGTACAACAAAATTAGGTGTAGCTTTTTTAGTTTTTTTTTTCCTTTTTTTTGTAAATCTGTACATTTTCATGTAAAGATTCTTGAATTTTGTAAGATCTACAAAATAAGATTTTGTAAATGAATGAATTTGTGGTTCATTTAGAAAAAAAGCAATTATTTTAAATAATATTTAAAAAAAAAATCAGTAAGGAAAAATACTAATTATATGTATTGTATGTTCAAAAGTGGCCTTTCAAATTCGATAGCTGTTGACCTTGTCAATTTTCTGATATTTTTCTTATTCCTCCGCACAAAAGACCTTTCATTTTTCCATTTGGCTGATCATTTAAAGGTGGAATAATCGACACAAATAATAAAGTCCAAGATGTGACATTTTCTTGTAGCACGTGATTGATTGAGGTGAACAGAGTTGATTTGTTTGGCCAGCAGCAAGGGCAGATGGCTTGCGCCTCCCTTGTTATTAAAAACGCAGGCCTTTTATATCAATATATGTGCGGCTCATAACTCCTCCCCCTTCATTACCTGCCGCGGGTGACTCGAGCGAAATTTCAAAATTACACACATACATACGCACGCTGCAGCTGATCTAAAAAGTGAAGCCGAAGGGAAGGAGCGCGTGTATTGTTGAAATTGCACCAACGCACAGGAAACTGACTGATGGTTACTTGCCCCCCTGCCACGGAAAGGAAATTTTGTGAGCACAGAGGGAGCTTTTCTAATATTGGCCATATAATGATAAAATTGGAGTGTGCAAGAAAATTATCAGGAAGGAGAAAAATTTAACTTTAATTTTTTCTAAGAAAAAAATTGATTCCGATCGATTTTTAAAGTTAACTTTATAAAATCTCAAGTTCACACGTTCACAGTTAATTAATTTTATTTTCCTCTGTAAAAATGTATCTTTTGGATCTATAAAACCATCCAAAAATAATTTTTTGTTCTATTTTTTAACTAAACTACAAACTTATAGACATTGATTGAAGGATCATTTTGAAACTTTCAAGGTTGTTAAGGCCACTGACACTTCACTTCTCGTGGAAGTTTGTTGACTTGTGTAAAAATTTTGAACTTGACGCCATCGTTTGTTTGGAGACGCAATGCAAAAGGATGCGGAGAACCGCGGCGATGAGTTAGAGTTTGTTTGACAAGACTTCTTGCTCTCAGAATGAATACATCAGCCTTGCTCCATTAAAGTCCTCGTCTCCGGTGCTGATCATCATGTGTCAGCCTCATCTCACCCCAACGGCTATTTTCGCATTCAATTCATTTAGCATTGAAACAATTGGCCGCCATTACGCGTGCGTTTATTTTTAAATTAGCTTGCAACTGTGTAATTGTCTGAAACATGCTAATTCGTCGCGGCTCCCAACAACATAGGCGCGGGTGTGACCAGCTTGCTAAACAGTTACAAGTCAAGTCACGGATGCGAATATGGGCGCCGGACAGGCAAAAAAATAAACAACCAATTCTTTTGGAGGATAAAGTCATAAATTTCAATCAAGCTGTGCAGACTGGAAATTCTGTATGATTTAAAAATTTGCTGTTGAATTAAAATTTTAAAATAAATAATGAATCCTCTATAAATTTATCAAAAAAGAGAGCCTGTGCTATGATGAAACTGACCAGAGATTTGTAAACCAGCATAGCTGCGGATGTGGCCGCCGCATATTTATCAACTTTTCTAATCTCCAACCTTGTTAATTCAAATTCTCTCCCAAGCGCCTTCCATTGTTATTCAAATTTTTAATTTAAATATCCTCAAGAAAATTATTTTTCTGTCTCCGCAGGATCGGTTGCCCTCTGCGGTGCTCTTGTTGGAGCCTCTTTTATATTATTTTCCAAACGCAAAGCAGAAATAATAAAAATACTTTATTTGTAATTTTTTTGCTAAAAATCTTAATCCCGTCTGGTGAGATTCCATAAAAAGCAGCGTCAGTCAAAATTCCCAGAAAATAGCAAATAATGGAGTGAATTTCGCATGCCTGAGAATGGAAGCCTTTTTCAGCCGTGTTTCCATCAGCGTGGCAACAAGCCGCTTTAATTGCACCGCAAATTGGCGCTGGGCACCAGAATAGAATTCTCGCTCAGTCGGTGGGAATTTGTGCACAGCAAGGGGCGAGTTTGTGCCGCGAAATTAAAAAAAAGCGAGGCTCTCCATTTTTGGGTGGAGTCTTCTCTGTGCCCAAGCAGTTTTCTTAATTAGCAAATCCTGAAAGTTGTTTAATTGTTTATTATTTTGTGTGCTACAAATTCGTAGTATTATCCATTGGCGGAAGTTGAACACAAACACAATGGCTCAATATCCCGCTATTATTTTCTGGGCAGGCAATAAATTGTCGCTCAAAATTATAAATCCACTGAACTGAGGCTTCAATGGGTGAATTTCAACTTAAATTGAAAGGCTTGAAGGAAAATATTCAGCTATTATTTTTTCAATGTGAATACTTTTTTCTCCTGAATATTTTTTAGCTTGAATCTGGGGTTTCCTAATGTGTTGCTGGACTGGCCAATATTTACCTTCGCAGCAAATAAAAGAATATATAGCGCGGTAAGAAAATAAACTGCCACAGAGATGGAAAGTCGTTCATTTGTGAAGAAGAATGGGGCCGCACGGAAATGATTTGAAATTTAAATTGAAACCCAAGCTGCTGTGTGTATGCATGGTGAACCATAAAGGGATTTATGTGTTTTGTGTGGGCCCACTTTTTATGCGTCTGATCCGTCTTGATGGCGACTGTTGTGTCAAAGCGTGGAACAAGAAAGGACCGGGACTTTGACGCTCGGGAATTCCAACCCCTCGGCAGGCGGCGAGACAAAATTTTCCGGCCGTTCTAAATTTAAGCAAAAGAAATTAACGAGAGTACGATTCGTGTCGACTGACGCTTCCTGTTGATTTATTTTTATCGCTTGTAGCACGTCTCATTTATAAGGAAAAGAAAATCTTCGGCGAGCACACATGTATGCGCCGTACTTTGTTTTCTTTGGAGAAATTTGATGTGACAAGCATCAGCGGGGAGGGTTCGGGCGGCGGGGCTGCATTTAAAATCGGGATTAGTCCCACCCAACGTTAGATAAGGGGCTGACACTGTGAAACATAATTTTTTTCACCTCCCCACAATTGGAGTGAGTTGAAGGTCGTAAAAAATATACTTTTTGTGTTACATAAAAATGTCCACGAGATGGATCTTGATGCCACCGGACTTGTGTGTGGTTTGTGCCTGGAAATCAATAAA